CCAGCAGGTCAGTCTGTACCTGTGAGGCGAGTGCATCAACAGCCTGATGGCACGCCTTCAGACTTCCAGATACCCCAAAATTGCTGCTGTGCCTTTGGCCAGACCCCAAAAACTTGGGGCAAAGTTTACCAAGAAAGTAAATGGCCAAAAGTTAGGTATGTGGGAGACACACCCACAAACCACCTCTGGCTCAGCTATATAATTGGAGGCATGGCCTCTCTGCTTCCTGATCAAACTGCTTAACAGCCATGATCCCAGAGACTCAGAAACATACCTCGAAACCCAACAGCTTTTGGCAGAAATGCGTCCGGTCCCTGCAGTAGGTTACTGGCGCCGGGCCACCCCAGGTGGGAACAGGTTTCGTGCTTTGGCCTGTTCTCCCTGGTGGCTCGGTGGTTCCAGAGGCCACTGGACAGTCAGGTTTGGGCCCACAGTGACAAGACACATGGGGCCTCACAGGATGAGGATGGAGCCGGCCCTTTCCTCCCCATCCCAACGAGACCCCGAGTCGCTGCCCACAAACAGCCTCTCCGGCTCCTGATCAACCTGTTTAATGGCCATGATTCCAGAGTCTCAGAAACAAATCTCGAAACCCAGCGACTTTTGGCAGAAATGTGTCCGGTCCCTATTACCGCTGCTGGGCCACCCCAGGTGGGAATAGGTTTCATGCCTTAGCCTGTTCCCCCTGGCGGCCCAGTGGCCGCCATCCTCCGGAGGCCACTTAACAGTCAGGTTTGCGCCTGCAGTGATGAGACATGTGGGGCCTCACAGGATGAGGGTGGAGCCGGCCCTTTCCTCCCCAGCCCAACAAGACCCCGAGTTGCCGCCCACAAATGGCCTCTCTGGCTCCTGATCAAGCTGCTTAACAACCATGATCCCAGAGACTCAGAGACAAATCTCAGAACCTAGTGGCTTTTGGCAGAAATGCATCCGGACTCGCAGTAGGTTACTGTCACTGGGCCGGCCCAGGGGGAAAGGGTGCTGTCCCTCCGCCTGCTCCCCCTAGGTGGCTCGGTGGCTGCCATCCTCCTGAGGACATTGGACAGTCAGGCTTGGGCCCTCAATGACGAGACATGTGGGGCCTCACGGGATGGGGGTGGAGCCGGCCCTTTCCTCCCCGCCCCAACGAGACCCCAAGTCACCACCCACGAACGGCCTCTCTGGCTCCTGATCAAGCTGCTTAATGGCTATGATCCCAGAGACTCAGAAACAAATCTCGGAACCCAGTGGCTTTTGGCAGAAATGCATCCAGACCCTGCAGTAGGTTACTATTGCTGGGCCACCCAAGGGGGGAAAGGGTATTGTCCCTCCACCTGCTCCCCCAAGGCGGATTGGTGGCCACCATCCTCCAGAGGCCATTGGACAGTCAGGTTTGGGCCCTCAGTGATGAGAAAGGCAGGGCCTCACGAAATGGGGGTTGAGCCAGCCCTTTCCTCCCTCTCCCAACGAGACCCCGAGTCACCACACATGAACGGCCTTTCTGGCTCCTGATCAAGCTGCTTAATGGCCATGATCCTAAAGACTCAGGAACAAATCTCGGAACCCAACAGGTTTTGGCAGAAATCCCTCCAGATTTAATTGTTAAAACCTCGGAATTCCAAAATTGCACGGCCACTACTGCAGCCACGCGACACCATATGTTATTCATAACTAGCAATAGAAAACAAATTGTCTAGTGTTGCCTTTTCAGCAGATTTGAGTTTTGGGGTAAAATCTCAATAATAATGCTGAGTCTGGTGTCAAAATATTGAATGTAATCAAAGTAGAGAGAGAGTAATGTGGAAATCATCTGCCCCACAGGTAGGGGGAGGGTGTGGGATTATTGTGTACTGGGTTTTTTGGTGGTGTAGAGTGGGCACTGGTGAAGGTACAAGTGTTTCATTGTATGACCGAGACTTAAACCCAAAAGCTTTGCAACTGCTCTCACGATGATTCAATAAATAAAATTATAAAAAATTTAAAAAAAGTAAGGTGGAGTTCATGTCCAATTCAATCAGCTAAGCTAGTGGCTGAATAAATAGCAATACTCGTACATTAAAAAAAAAAACATGCCAGGAGTGACCCCTGAGCACAGAGCTAGGAGTATGCCCTGAGCACTGCTGGGTGTGGCCCAAAAGCAAAAACAAACAAAATAAGTTGCAGTGAATATTCTAAGGCCCTCTCGTTGATCGTCGATTTGCTCGAGCGGGCCCAGTAACGTCTCCATTGGAGACTTTGTTGTTACTGTGTCTGGCATATCGAACACATTTTTATTACTCTAACTCTGAATCTTTACCTTTAAGCTATTCCCCAAATCAGTTTCACCTAATTTTCCATATAAAGAGAACTGAAGTCACAAATGTGGATTGGAATCTTCTGTCTTTTATTACCTGTGGGGCATTGGGCCAATGACATTATCTGAGACTCAGTTCCTCCATCTGTAAAATGAAATTTTTTATATACTTATAAATTATATACCTATATACTTTTTAGATACATCTTTATGGGGATTAAAGGAGTTAATAGTGCCCTGCAAGTCATAAATGCTTAATATACATTTAACTACTCTTTCAGTAAACTTTTGTAGGCCCTGAATAAGCCCCAAGAAAATACCAGAAAAAAAATTGTGTATGTGTGTGTGTGTGGGGGGGGGGGGGGGGTTAATCATGCAATGTTCCAACACCCATCCCTCCACCAGTGTACATTTCCCACCACCAAAGTCCCCTGCCTCTGTGTCAGGCACCTTTCTTCTTGCTCTCTCTTCTTTTTCTGGAGTTACAGGGAAGTGGAGGGAGGTAAGCCATCCTGATTCAGAGAGAGCTTGGAGATTTCAGTCACAAAACCTACATACCCAAATTTTCAGCAGATTAATATCTTGGTTAGGTCTGTCCCACCTGGGGGCATGGCAGTGATTTTGGATTGTGGGAGGAAGCAGCTGCTGGGGACTCTTCTTGGGCGGGCACTGGTAAAGCCGTCCCCACTTCAACGTATTCTCTCTGTATAGCCTTGCCCAGGTCGGAGATTAATCGCAGCCTCTGATCTCTTTTGAGATTTATTTATGGGTCTCTGAAGCAAGGCCGGTGGAAGACCTTCCATAGTGGCGCTGGAGTTGGCTCAGGGGGGTAAGTGCCCATGCTTCCAGGAGTATAGGGAAGTGGGGGGAAGGTAGCCCATGTCAACTCTGAGAAAACCTGGAGATTTCAGTCACAAAACCCACTTACCCAAATTTTCAGCAGGATAGTATCTCAGTGAGGTCCATCCAGGGACAATGGAATGCGGCTGGAGGAATGGTAGTGATTTTGGAATTTTGGAGTGAGTGGCTGCTGTGAGCTCTGCATAGCCCAGGCACTGGCAAGCCTGCCCCCTCCCATGTGTCCTGTTTGTACAGCCTTATGCAGCCAGAGATTAACTACAGATTCTGATCTTTTTTGTGATTTATATATGGGTGTCTAATGGTAGGAGGATAAATGAGCTTGTATGGCTGAGCAAAAGGTGGTTTATAGGTATGGTTCTCATATATGTAACTTTTAGCAGTTTAATTTCTCTGGAAACTTGGTCCTGAGTTGTTGGAGTCCAACCAGGGGCATAGCATCAATTCGGGGGTATCAGGAAGCTTGAGGGCACCATCAAGCTGCTGATACACTCATACAGTGGGTTTAAGTTGGCCTGCCTGTAGGGCCGCAGTAGCAACGGTGACAGGACTCAGCAGGGATCAGATCCAGAGCTGCTACAGTATGCAGCTTGGGTACTCTGTGTGGGCTGCAGCCAACAGTCCAGCAGAACATGACCAGGAAGCACATGCCCCCATCTTTGGTCTCCAGACAGTTGGCCTTAGGGAGGCTTTCCTTCATAATATGCTACAGGTGGTCTGGGGAGGAAATCGCAGCTGCAGAATCGCTGGGGGCCCTATGGTAGGCACCCAGGGCGCCTCCACAAACTCTGAGACCTCAATAACCGCGCTCTGCAGTGGTGCCAAGTCAGACCTGAAGAGCCCTAGTCAGACCCCTTCTAATTCTGCAGGGGCCTGCGAGCTCGCGAGTCCCACTCTGGGCCGGGGCTCCGAGGCTGGTTTCACTTAAGGGTGCTCACTCTGAGTCCGGATACCCAAGTGGCACCCACATCCACTCACGCAGAATTCTGTGGCTTGATCGGCTGTTAAGAGTGCAGAGAGTCGCCATCCTTCAGGCAAAGGAGCTGCCACCTTGTCCCGAACTATCGAGAATACCAGAATGGGGGCTTGGAGTGATAGCAGAGTGGGTAGGGCGTTTGCCTTGCACGCGGCCAACCCGGTTCGATTCCCAGCATCCCATATGGTCCCCTGAGCAGTGCCAGGAGTAATTCCTGAGTGAAGAGCCAGGAGTAAGCCCTGTGCATCGCCGGGTGTGACACAAATAGCAAAAAAGAAAAAAGAAAATACCAGAATCTACGCGCAGGGTCAGTTCCTCACCGCTTGCGTCTAAGTCGATCAGCTAGGGAACCAGCGAACAAGCTTGAAGCCCAAAAGTTCCACTCACTTTTCCCTTCCCGACTTCCCGAGCCTCTCTCTGGTTAGGTAACTGACACACCTGGGAGGAAATTTCCCAAGTCAGACCACGGAAACCGTTGGGTTTTGTTTGTTTTTCACAGTGTAAGAGGGAGGCTTGGGGCTGGAGCTTGGGGCTGGAGCGATAGCACCAGCGGTAGGGTGTTTGCCTTGCACGCAGCCAACATGGCCGACCCGAGTTCGATTCCTCCGCCCCTCTCGGCAGAGCCCGGCAAGCTACTGAGAGTATCTCGCCCTCACTGCAGAGCCTGGCAAGCTCCCCGTGACGTATTCGTATGCCAAACACAGTAACAAAAGTCTCCAAATCGATGAACAACGGGAGGACCGTGACCGTGAAGAGGGAGGCTTAGCGGAAGCAGGAACTACAGGCTCACCGGGTCTCCCAGCTCCGGGGATACTGTCCCCTAGGCGCGGTGACAGCGCCCGTGGGCCGGTGCTGCGCGCAGAGCCCCGGCGAGGAGGACGAAGAGAGCCGAGGGCTGCGGAACCTCCGCGGGGCGCGCGCGCACCCGCCGGCCGCGCGCCTACAGCGGCCCCGCCCTCCTCCGCACGGCGGCCAATCAGGAAGCGCGGCGCAGGTTCAAACAAACGGCGGGTCAACATGGCGGCGGCCTGCGGGGCTGGCAGCTAATCGGCCCCCGTCTCGTGTGGAAGATGTGGCGGGTGAAAAAACTCAACATGAGCGTGTCGCCTTCGGTGAGCGGCGGAGAAAGAGCCGAGCGCGAACTTCCAGGGCGGGGGGGCTGGGGACGCCGGATGTACTGGAAAAGCGGCGTCCTTTGGGGCGGGGCCGTGCGGAGCCTCGGGGGTCCCGCAGCTTCAGCTCTGCGTGCCAGGGCCTCCTTTTGGCAGTGCCCATCGGCTCCTTAGGGAGGAATGAAAGGCAGACCTGCAGGGGTTTTTTCCCCACGCGCTCATGTCGTTCTTTCTCAGGGAAAGCCAGCAATGAGGACTCCTCTTCGAGAACTTACGCTACAGCCCAATGCCCTCACCAGCTCCGGAAAAGAGCCCCCCACTGATTCCTCGATGTCCCCGTCTCTGTGCAAGTTGGGACCGCAGGTGAGATTCGCCTGGCCAGCTTCTTAACTGGGCTCTTTGCCGAGGCTGAGAGCTCAGAGGAACAGAGGGCCGGGGCTGGAACGTAATTAATAATGATAATAAACTCTCTTACTCGGTGACATCCATTTACAGCTATTCAGGCCAACAGAGAGATGCCCTCCGTTGGTTAGAGGAAATCCACTGAGTGCCCGGACCTCTATTTAGCTGTTAGCTTCCATAACCTTTCTCTTGTTCCTGCAAAGGCATGTACTCTACAACTTGAGGAATATTTCTGACTTTTTCTTTTTCTTTTTTTGTGCTTGGAGCTGAACCTGCAGTGCTCAGGGCTTACACGTGGCTCTGTGCTCAGGGATTGCTCCTGTTGGGGCTTGGGTGACCATACAGGATGCCCGAGATTGAATTTAGGTTGGCTGCGTGCAAGATAAGACAAAGCCCTACCTGCTGTGCTAGAGCCCCAGGACATCATAGTTTAATTCTATTTTCACTCTTTTATTTGTGTGGGGAGGGCAGGGTGAGCCCTTCTGAGCAGAGCCCGAGGGAGCCACTTATTTCAGCTGAAGTTCTGCTGTTGGGCAGGAGTCCTGTACGGCTAGGGAGCTCCAGAGGAACTTCAATTTGCTCTTCGTTCTCTGCTGTAGCAGCTACAGCTTTTTTTTTTTTGCTTTTTGGGTCACATCCAGTGATGCACAGGGGTTACTCCTGGCTCATGCACTCAGGAATTACTCCTGGCAGTGCTTGGGGGACCATGTGGGATGCTGGGAATTGAACCTGGGTCAACCGCCAGCAAGGCAAATGCCCTACCAGCCGTGCTATCACTCCAGCCCCAGCTATAGCTTTTCAAATCCCAAGGATTGAGGGGATTGACCTTTGTGTTCCAGACTCCCTCAGTTCTGTGAGCCAGGGATGTTATATGTCTGGTTCAGATCGATGTTTCCCTCTTGCCTTTGGGTCCATGACCATGTGCTCTCTAATTCTGGTACTCGTCTGTTTCAGAAGGGAGAAAATCTTCTCTATCAACACTATCTTCTGCCAGAGCTTTAGCATAAGGGCTCCTTCTACCCATTCCCCTAGTGTCGGAATTAGGACTGGAGAAGTGTAGAAAATTCAAGGTAGTATCTCCCTGTGGTATGTCTAATCATCTCAGCCTTGTTTATATTGTAGGCTGCTTCAGTTAGGGAACCCAAACTTGAGGCTAGAGAAATTACTTAGTGGGATGGAATGCTGCATGCTTTGTATGTAGGAGGCCTGGGTTCATTCTCCAGCATTGCAAAGTTTCCTGAGCACCATGCCAGGAGTAGCCCCTGAACACTGCCTGGTGTGACCCAAAAGTCAAAAGAAAAACTTACAATGTCTTTTCAGCTATTTTCGCCCTGTGTTGGTTGTCTGTAGTGAGTAGCAAGTCTTAGCTAAGTTTATTTATTTTTTCCTTTTTTGGGTCACGCCCGGCGATGCACAGGGGCTACTCCTGGCTCTGCGCTCAGGAATTACCCCTGACGGTACTCAGGGGACCATATGGGATGCTGGGAATTGAACCTGGGTCGGCCGCATGCAAGGCAAACGCCCTACCTGCTGTGCTATTGCTCCAGCCCCTTAGCTAAGTTCTTACTTAAACTTAGAAGTAATGAACCTTTCTTTTTTTGAGTTTACACAGAATCCTACACCCATAATTGCATGTTGGAAGCTGGAATTGACTGCCTTAGTCAACTACTTTTGTTTCCTTTGGCAGGAAGACAGTATCCACTCATCTACCCTGGATTTTGTCAATACTGAGAGGATAGAGTCCCCTTCAGAACCAGTCAGTCACACTTCAGAGTGGCAGGAAGCTCATCAACTTCTGGCCAATGAGCCGCACGTCGCTCTGATTCCCCAAACCAACTCCATTTCCCCAGCATTTGAGGAAGCACTGTACAATGAAATGATCAAAACCATGGTCCTTGTACCTTCTGCAGAGGGTGGCCAGCAAGACATTATACACGAGGCCCACTTAGATACGTTGGCAGAGACAATTAACATCTCTCTTGATGAACTTTTGCAGCCAGGAGATCTGCTGGGAAGCGGGCTTGCACCTTCTATGGAAGACAGTTTTTTTCCAGAACTTGTTTCTGCCATTGCTGAGAAACCTGTATTGCAGGAGCCTCCATCCCACGTCTCAGAGTCTCCACCAAGTCTCTGCTCAGAGCAGCAGCTGTACTCCGAGGAAAAGCCAAAGGGCGGTGGAGCTGACACTGAGCCTGAGAACTTAGTCCCTTCTGGAAATAATTCCTTTTTGTCTTCCTCCACACTCTGGCGTTCCTCTTCAACTGCCTTAGCAGCAGATTTTCTTGCAAGTCCTGGGGTCCCTGGAGAAGACACTGCGGAGCACAGAGCTATAGAGGAAAAAGAAATAAGCGTTCCCATGCTCCCTGAAGCTGCCGAATTGGGAGATCAGGCCCTGGTCTCAGATGGCGAAGATATTCCACACACATGGCAGTCCCCACAGACAGGAAATAGGAACTCCCAGGGAGCTCACGACCCCGTAGTGGAAGAGACTAGTACGCGTCTCATCTCTGATACAGAGCCTTGGCTGTCCCCACTGGCTTGGCTGGAAAAAGGCGTAAATACTTCAGTCATGCTGGAAAATCTCCGTCAGAGCTTGTCCCTGTCTTTTCCTTCTGTTCTTCGGGATGCTGCGACCAGTATGACCCCTGTTTCCACTTGCTCCATCGGAACTTGGTATACTCCCCCAGCACAACAAGAGAAAAGTTCAGACGTATCCCAGACAGGCGTGGTAGGCACCGAGGACAGTGCTTCTCAGGCAGAGCCCCTCCTGCGGGGGTAAGTCTCCACTCCCCTGCAGCTCCTGGACGCCAGTAACCTGGACTTGCCACTTCCCTTCTCTCCCCCCTCTCCCTCTCCTTATGTTTTTCTTTCCCTCTTGCAGCCATCCTCCAGATCTGACAGCCTTATCTCGACATGATCTGGAAGATAACTTGCTGAATTCTCTTGTCATTCTGGAGGTTCTCTCCCGCCAGCTGCAGGAGTGGAAGAGCCAGCTGACTGCGCGCCCTGCAGTTCAGGACAGCAGCACACAGACGGACACTTCTGGTGGGGTAAGAAGGTCCCTGCTCAAGGCTGGACGATCCCCTTGGGCATGTTCTTGCAGAATTGATCCTGCAGTGGTTCAAAGACACTCCTTAACCAAAGGCTCATTGTCTAACAGCTGAGGATCTAGAAAATCCCTTAGAGCTGAGACTTTTTTGGTTATAGCAAGTACCTTATCTCTGCCCACAAATCAGGAAAGTTTTAAAGATACTTTCTTCCAGATTCTCATCTTTCAGTGTACCAGTAACTTTTTCCTTTCCAGTGCCCCCCCCCCCCCCCTTATTAATTGTCTTTCCCTTCTTTACTAAAGAAGAGCATACATGGGCGGGAATGTTGGTACAAAGGGTAATGCACTTGCCTTACATGCGGCTGACTTGGGTTCAAGCCCCAACACCCCATATGGTTCCCCCAAGCCCTTCAGGAGTGACCACTGAGCACAGATCCAGGAGTAAACCCTGAGTACAGCAGGGAGGATGTTTGCCTTCTACGCAGGTGACCTTGGTTTGATTCCTGACACCCCATTTGGTTCCCTGAGCTCTGCCAGGAGTGATCCCTGAGCAGAGTGAGAGTAAGCCCTGAGCACTGCTGTGTGTGGCCCCCAAACAAAACACAACAAAAACCCTGAGTACTACTGGGTGTGGCCACAAAACAAACACGCAGAGAAAATGTGGACTTGCTAAGAAAGCAAAATTTAGTAATAAAATTTAGAGCACATCATTTTTGTTTGCCTTCAGAACATTAAAGTAAGGAATATAACTGAGCAGTGGAGAACTGACCTTGCATGTCTGAGAACCTGGGACTCAGGGCGAGAGCACATGCGCTGAGTGCAGAAGCCACCATGTTTGATCCCTGGCACTCTATCTTGAGCACTAAGTTGTGAGAAGCTTCTAGGCCTTATTGAATGTGGCTTTCCTATCTCTCCCCAAAAAAGGTTGTTTATGTCTTTGGATTCTTAAAACTCTTGGAGAATTTTGGCAGGTATTTCCAAAGGATCACCTAGAATTGGGTGATATTTCTGCTATTCCTTTTTATTTTGGGTGTGTGTGTTAATCCTGGCTCTGTACTCAGGAATAATTCCTGGCTATGCTTGGCAACAGTATGGGATACCTAGGTTCAGATCTGGGTTGTCCTCTTGCAAATCACGGCGGCTGTACTATTGCTCTGCCTCTTCATTCTTTTTTGTTTGTTTGTTTTTATTTGGAGGCCACACCATTGTGACTCTGGGCTTACTCCTGGCTCTGTGCTCAGGAATTGCTGCTGGCAGTGCACAGGGCCCATACAGGATGCGGGATATTTAGCTTTTCAAAATTATTGTAAGGTGTTTACCTTGCATGCAGTTGACCCTATTGTGAATCTCAGCACCACATATGGTGTTCTGAGTACCACCAAAGAGCTCTCCTGAACACAGAGCCAGAAGTAGCCTCTGAGCACTGTTGGGCGTGACTCCAAAACAAAATTATTGTTGGATATGTAAGAGGAAAACAGTTTTAGGACACTATTGTGTAGAACTCAGAGACAACACAAGCTAAGAAAGGAAGGGAATTGTGTTAAAAAAAAAAAGAAATTAAGGCCCGGAGTGATAGTACATTGGATAGGGCATTTGCCTTGCATGTGGCCAACCTAGGTTTAATCCCTGGTACCCTATATGGTCCCCTGAGCACTGCCAGGAGTAATTCCTGAGTGCAGAGCCAGGAGTAACCCCTGAACATCACTGGGTATGACCCAAAGAGCCAGAAAAAAGACTCCTGGCTCTCTGCACTCAGGAATTACTCCTGGTGGGCATGGGGGACCATCTGGGATGCCAGGGATTGAATCTGGGTTGGCCACATAAGAGCAATTGCACTACCTGCTGTGCCAGTGCTCCAGCCCACCTAGAGACCTTCTACTGGTTGAAAATATTTTTAAGCTTGCGGGGATGTATGAGAGAGGAACCCTCATCCCTCTTAGTGAGGGTGTCATCTAGTTCAGAAGTCAGAAAGCAGTGTGGAGACTTCTCAAAAGAGAATTGTGTTTCCATATGACCAATCCGGCAATACCACTTGGCATCCTTACCAAGAACAAAAAACATTCATTTGAAATGATACTTGCTTTTGTGTTCATTGTGGCACTGTTCACAATAGCCAAGATCTGAAAACTGCAAAAACAGATGATTGAATAAAGAAATTGTGGTATACATGCACAAAGGAATTCTATTCAGATATAAGAAAAGCTGACATCCTGTATTTGCTGCAACTTGGAAGGGAATGTTATCATGCTTCCTGAACAAACACTGAATGATCCTTCATGCAGAGTACAAAGAAAATAGTAAAGTAGTAGGGGCTGGGTAAGGCACTTGCCTGGCACATGTCTGACCTGGGTTCGATCCCTGGCATCCCATATGATCCCTCAGGGCTGCCAGAAGTAATTACTGAACTCAGAGCTAATAGCAAGCCTGTAGGATTGCTGGATACGATCCCCAAAATACTCCCCATTTTTTTTTTTAAATAAACATAGTAAAGGAATAAAAAATGGTCAAGGATAGCAAACTCAGTGCTTATAGTATTGATTTTACTAAAGGTGGGAAGGAAAGTGAGAAGGGGCCTAGAAATGGTGGTGGAGAGATGCCCACACACTGGTGGCAAGTTTGGTATAGCAACATTGTGTGCCGGAAACATTGCTGTTATCAGTGTTGTAAATCAGGTGCCTAAATAAGGAAAGAAAAGACTCTTATGTGTGGCATGTGTGAGGCCCTGGGTTTGATTCCTGGTACCATGAGAAAAAGAACAAGAGAAGATGGAAGAAAATATACTTAAAAAGTTGACTTTGTCTTTTGCCATTGCCAGAAACTCTGGAAATTCTAAGTTCTTCATTCCACCGATGGCTCAGTTTCTCTTCTGTGTTTGCTCCTTTTTTTTTCTTTTCTTTTCCTTTTTTCAATTTCTGGACTAGACCCGGCTGTGCCCAGGGCTAACTCCTGCCTCTAAGCTTAGGTCAGCCCTGCCAGGGCTCTGGGTATCACATGGTATGCTGGGGATCAAATCTAGGTCAGCTGTATGCAAGGCAACACATCCTCTGTATTATTACTCCAGTTCTGCCTTGTACCCTCTTTTTTTTTTTTTTTCCTTTTTGGATCACACTGTTGATGCACAGGGGTTATTCCTGGCTTTGCACTCAGGAATTACTCCTGGTGGTGCTCGGGGGACCATATGAGATGTTGGGAATCGAACCTGGGTCAGCCGCATACAAGGCGAATGCTCTACCCCCTGTACTATTACTCCAGCCCCATTGTACCCTCTTCTTAAGCTTGCCAGATCCTTTGGATGCCCCTGAAACAGAATCTAGGCAGGAAATTACAGCACTTCTAGTCATTCCCTATTCCAGTTCCACATTCTTGCCACTTGACTGACCCTTCACACAAGTCTTGTTATCTGCCTGACTGCCCAACTCTGAGCAGTATGTGACCCCTGTACAGGGTGCATGAAGTACTCTGTGCTGTACTGCATGGCACAGTAGGGAATGATATTCACAGGGTTGGGTCAGGGAGCCATGAACACCAAGAGAACTGCGTCTTCACATCCAGACTGAGGATGGTGACTCAACACTCTTCCTCCAACAGTAGGTATTTTTCTCAGATGATGACTGCCTTTGATAGCAGTGACAACTCCCTTCTTTTCTCAAACTGGAAAGTTATTTTTATGGCTTAACTGCCTCTGAGAACACTTACCCTGCTCTATATAATGCACTTAAGATATTTACTTCCCCAAGATAATGAACAGACAGAATTGGAAAAGAGTAGCAATACTTTTCATGGTAAACAAAGAAATGCAATTTGAAACAACAAAAGGCCGTTTTCTTCTGACAAAATAGCGAAGAGTACGATAGATAATGCTGGAACGTGTTGTCCTTTTGCCAGTAGGGCATAATGTAAATTGGCTTATCCTTTTCTTGTTCATCCTATTTTTTTCATCATACTTGTGGTGCCAGAGATTGCACTTGGCCCTGTGGGGTGGTGCTGGGATTAGTTTCAGGACCAACCCAGGCAAGACCACATTCCCGACCCCTCAGCCTTGCTCTCCTCCCTCCCACGTGGATGTTTGGTGAACGGGGCTTGTACGTCAGAGGCAATTTTTTTCTTTCTTTTGTTTTGCTTCATTTGTTTTTTGGGGGGTCTACCAGAGTTTAATCCTGACTTAGGCTCTGGCGATGCTCAGAGGACCATATGGGGTACCAGATGGAACCTGGGTCGATTGCGTGCAAGGCATGTGCCCTACCTGCTGTGCTGTCCAGCTCCTCACATTCCTGTAGGTGTGTTACTTACACATCTGCTTGCCAGGGCTCTGCTCCGTGACACTCACATTCTGGTTGTAGTGTTCACCAGGGACTGCTCTTCTGACCACAGTGCCTGCCTGCCATGTAGAAAACCCTGAGCTCAACTCCTGGTGCCAGCTACATGTGATGAACAGCTGTGCTGTTTGTGCCTGGAAGCCCTGCAGTCTGTAATGCCCTGTGCCACAAGTGACCACCTCTGTTACCACATCTGGATGTGTGTGAGCGCCAAGGCTAGGAATGTAACCCTCTGGCAAGCAAGCCTGCATGCAAATGACACGACTTAAAAGGAGTTTGCCCCTCAGCAAAACCTATCGCCAAGGGTGAACTCAGCCACTGTAGTATCTCTCCAGCACTACTTTACAACTTTTATTTAATAATTTCATTATTTTTTCAAATACATCTACATTCATGTCTATGACAGTATGCAGTGGGTTTTTGTTCCTGTTTCAGAGATGAGAAACAAACTGAAGAGCAAAATGGTTCAAAACAGCACTGATGGAAATAGACTCAGCATGAAAATGAATGTTGTCATTTGGTGTTACATTGATTTCAGTAGCATCATCATGTTTTGTGAGAAATATTGTAGGCAGGGAAATAGGTCCAACGTCTGGAACATGTGTTTTGCCTGCAGGAACCCTGGGTTTGATAACTGGCTCTGTGTGGTCCCCTGAACATTGCTGAGAATTGTGAGTAGCCCCTTAAGCACTGCTGGTGGGGCCCAAAAAGCAACAAGCAAAGAATTCGTGGGACCCAAGAAGCAAGAAGCAAAAAGTTTGTTATAGCTTTGTTTAGAAAGGTGGTTGTTGCCACACCCAGTGATGGTCAGGGATTACTCCTGGCTCTGCACTCAGGAAGTACTCCTGGCTGTGCTCAGGGGACCATATGGGATGCCAGGGATTAAACCCAGGTTGGCCATGTGCAAGGCAAATGCCCTAGCTGCTCTACTACCACTCTGGTTCCTAAAATGGTTTTAGAACAAAGTAAAGTATATGCAACTAAGAAAATACAGCTCATTCTACCTTATGAATTATTTATATACTTCATAATAACCAGTGTCTTTATTTATTTGCTTTTTGGGTTTCACCGGTAATGCTCAGGGGTTAGTCCTGGCTCTGCACTCAGGAATTACTACTGGCAGTGCTCGGGGGACCATTTGGGATGCCAGGGACCGAACCTGGGTCAGACATGTGCAAGGCAAATGCTCTGCCCGCTCTACTATCGTTCTGGCCTCTACCCAGTGTCTTTAAAAGTGCTGTTTATGTTTTGATTTTGTCTTTTGTGGGTGGGAGGTATTCCCATTAGTTTTTGGTTTCCCACTCTTGGAAGTGGGTGATCAGGCTGGACAGAGCTAGGGCCACCAGAGCTATGTACCTGGCTGTGCTTGTGCATCATATGATGCTGGGGATTGAACCCAGGACCTCACTCTGCAAACACATGCACTTCTAGTCCAAATTTCTAAGAATAAATGGTTTTGATTTGGGGCCACACCTAGTGATGCTCAAGAACTACTCTTGGCAGTGCTTGGGGATTCTTATGGGATGCTGGGGTACACTCCTGCCCTTGGTGGTATCTTCCCAGCCCTCTAGACCTTTAAGGACATCTCATAGGGGGCTTGAAATTGGGATCAATGACTTTCCTTCTCAGAGCCCTTGTGCACTGTCTCTTGCTTGGTGACTTCATTTAACCCAGACTAATCATCTTTCCCTCTACAGAAGCCATGGGTGCAGGTGTCAAAGGAGTTGATATCGTTACTTCACCTGTCTCTGTTGCACTTAGAGGAAGATAAAGCTACTGTGAGCCTGGAGGTAAGAGTACACACGAAGGTAGAAGTGTCTGGTAGAACTGAAAGCCAAAAAATGGAGCTTGACATAACATCTGATTTTTTTTTTTCGGTGGGGAGATGAAGGGGGGCAGGAGGCAGGGGACAGGGTCGGCAGCATACAAAGCAAGCACCTTACCCACAGTATCCTCTCTGGCTGCTGATTCTTATTTTACAGTCTCCACGTGCAGAAAACTTGGTCTCCTGTTTTAAAGTGTTGAAGAAATTGAAGAAAAGGCTCCAGAGCCTCAAAGCAGAGCAGGAGCAGGCAAAGCACGGAGAGAAGACTGCCCTCTCAGGCACGAATTCGGTAAGGTGTCAGTCCTTTGTTCCCGGATGTGGGCGAGTTCTTCCCTGGAAGGAACACACGTTTGCTAAAGACACAGATGGTCTGCCCAAGAGCTCTCTGCTCTGGGGCAGACCCAACTAAACTACCTGGGTGGTGGACATTCAGGGTCTTAGTGGGCTTTTCTTTCTTTTTTTCTGTTTCCTTCCTTTGCCCACCATGTCCACGCAACTTCTTCCCTAAGCAGGCAGAGACAGAGCTTGAGGCTTTCTGTGCTCACTCTGGCCAGCTCAAACAGGACCTGGCTGCCAGCCTTCTGAAGGAAACCCAGACTCACCTGGTAATTCAAGGGTATTTTCATCCCTGGGGTCTGTGCTGACACTCTGGGAGGACACTTTGTAATGGACTTCCACTTTGCTGTCAACTGGGGAGAGGACATCCCCACAGAGGCACACCTTCTCGTGTAGGTGGGGCTTCACACTGAGCAAGAACAGCTGGCTCAGCAGACAGCAAGTCTGACCCAAGTCTTGCATCAGGACTGGATATCCATGCAGCTGGATGTGAGTGTTTGGGGCTCTCCTGCCCTCCCCTCAGTCCCAGCTAGCTCTCTCAGGAACCTTGCTCAACTGACGTGCTTGCTTCCCCTGGCAGTATGTGACGTGGACGGCTCTGCTGAGTCGGTCTCGAGAACTCACAGAGAAACTCATGGCCAAGAGCCGGCAGACTCTGCAGGAACGGGATGCCGCAATTGAGGAAAAAGAGCAGGTACAAGCCAGGACTGGGTCCTGCTTAGGCCTGGGTCATCTCCCTCTGCAGCAGGACTTTGTTGTTTGGTTTGGGGGCCACATCTAGGGGTGCCCAGGCCTTCTGGCTTTGGACTCAGGGATCACTCCTGGCTATGCTCAGGGAACCAAATTGGGGTGCCCATTGGTCAGCCAGCTCAGCCGTGTGTAAGACAAGTGTCCTACCTGCTGTACTATTTCTCTTGTCCCAGAAGGCCTTTCTAACAAGTGGTATCTATAGCTTCTCACCTTGGCCTGTCTTTCCATCCTATGGGTATGGAGACCAGCCAGTTCCTTTTCTTCTAAGGTGACCTTCCCAACTATTTCTTCTTCAGCCATTTTTCTTTTCCGTGTCTACTTTTCCCTGAGTACCAGCCTCATTTGCTGTAGTGTTTCTGCCTAGCAGCCAAATGGTCTGTTGTCCTGTCCAAAAGGCTAAACTAAGTGCTCAGACTCTTGATTCAGGAGGAACTATGGGAGAAAAACTGTCTTCCCCCCCCCCCGTCCCCCCCAGGTTTCCAGGAAACTGGAGCAAGTCTCTGCTCATTTAGAGGACTGCAAAGGCCAAATAGAACAACTAAAGTTGGAAAACAGTCGCCTAGCAACAGGTATGCGTGTGTGCATTTATGCAAGTAATTATACCCTCTAAGGCGCGGGGAAAGGAGGCAGAGCGAGAGAGTGCTCTAGAGTGATGTTTCTCGGTGTTTCCCAACCACGACCCCCTTCCAACCTTGTTTTCATCCTGTGTCACTGGTTGGTCTCTGTTTATGCCGTTTTCTTTTGCAGCCCGCTTGGAATACCCAGAGGATATTCCATATGGCCACATGGCCCCAGCTGAAAAATACTGCTCTGTAGCACTCTGTGTGTGTGTGTGTGTGTGTGTGTGTGTGTGTGTGTGTGTGTGTGTACCTTTACTGCTCTACCACTAAAGCCTCATTCCTGGCAGAGAGAGCACTTATGTTGTTTTATTTTGGTTTGGGGGCCACACTTGGCAGTGCTCAGGGCTTACTCATGTCTGATGAGGGGTACCATATGGGGTGCTGAGGATTAAACCGGAGTTTCCCCCTCCCCCACCAAAAAAAAAACACCATGAGTTGGCCACATACAAGGGAACTGTCTTACTCACTATTCTATCTCACTAGCTGAGAGCACTAGTTTGGGAGCAGAAGAGGAGAGAGGGTGGTTTGTTTTAGCGTGGTGAACACACAGTTGCTTTTGGTTGCTTTCGGTCTAGATCTTCAGACTCAGCTGCAGATTCTTTCCAGCACGGAGAGTCAGTTGCAAGAGCTCTGCAGTCAGCACTCCCACTGCGCTCAGGACTTGGCCAAGAAGGACGAGTTGCTTTGCCAGCTTACCCAGAGCAATGAGGAGCAGGCTGCTCAGTGAGTTCTCCTCAGATCGTTGTTGTGGTAGGTGCAAAGGACAGGTTGAAACAGGACTACTCTAAGCATCTCTGATAGGTGGCAAAAGGAAGAGATGGAACTAAAGCGTATTCAAGCAGAGCTGCGGCAACAACAGGCGGTCCTGGCCAAGGAAGTTCAAGACCTGAAGGAGACCCTGGAGGTAAGGAGTGTTGCTGGGAGCAGGACAGCTGGCATGGCTCTGGCCTGATGGTAGTCAGGTGAGATTAGAAAAGCCTCAGTTCCTAGGGCTTGGGCTCATTTTCCCTTCTTCCCTCTTTTGCCCCTGCCCTGCCTTTTCCAATTCTCCTAAGTTCGCCGACCAAGAGAATCAGGTTGCACACCTAGAGCTGGGGCAGGTTGAGTGTCAGCTGAAGGCCACGCTAGAGGTGCTCCGGGAGCGCAGTCTGCAGTGTGAGGACCTCAAGGACACTGTGGAGAACCTGAAGTAAGAGTTCTGCTTTCTGTCCTCCCCAGTGCTCCCCGTTCCTAGGAACGTCTCTGGAAACTCAGGTCTCTAAGAGGGGAATCGTGACCGAGTCCAGAACCCCTTTCCCCCAGCAGATGCTGTTCACTGGGAGGTTAGGAGAGATGTTCAAAGGTCAACTGTCTTTGACCTCTTTTCCGTTCCTGACTTCAGGGCTAAATTGGCCAGCATCATAGAAGAGAGTCAGGAGCACGACCTGGAGAAGACACGTCAGTATTGCCAAGAGCTGGGGGTGCTGACTGAGCAGCTTCAGAGCCTAACTGACTTTCTGCAGACAAAACTACAGCTACAGGAGAAGGTATATAGCAGCTGAAACCACTACGATAAGAGGCTGAAGTGATAGTACAGTGAGTAGGACAGATGCCTTGTGCATAGCCGACCCAGGTTCAATCCCTGACATCCCATATGGTCCACCAGCACCACTATCAGTAATTTCTGAGTGCAGAGCCAGGAATGACCTTGAGCATCACAGGGTGTGGCCCACAAACAAACAAAAACCCCCACCTTCTACATTGTAGAAAACGAGTGGTAAGGGGCCAGAGTAGTACAGTATAGGGTACAGCAGGTAGGACACTTGTCTTGCATGCAGCTGACCCAGCTTTGATCCCCTGAGCACCGCCAGGAGTAATTCCTGAGCACAGAATCAGGAGTAACCTTGAGCATCACAGGATATGGCCCAACCCTCCCCCCAAATAAAGTGATAAGAGGGACCTTATCCCTCATTTTAGAGGGAAATCTTGGAATTTCATTCTTTAAATTCATTAACTATAAAGGTTTTTTGTTGTTTTGGTGCCATACCCCCACTCCCAGTGTTTCTCAGGGCTTACCTGACACTGCTCATGAATCACTCCTGGCAGTGCTCTAGAGACCACATTTAATGCGGGTGGAACTGGGGTTGGCCATAAGCAAAGCAATCACCTTAGTCCCTGTGCTAGTTCTCTGACCCATTTTTGTTGATATTTTAAATGAAGTTAAGGAAGTTTCCCTCTCTAGCTTACTGAGAGAGCTTCCAGTTGTATCTTTCTTGTGTAGTGTGGTCCTCCTAAAACTGTTCTTGTCGCACCTCTGTGACTTTTGTGGACACTCAGATGCCTTAAGCACTTCTTTAGTGTGTTGAAGTTTTTCTTCCTGTTTTTTCTTTTTTTTTTTTTCTTTTTGGATCATAGCCGGTTATGCTCAGGGGTTACTTCTGGCTCATGCACTCAGGAATTACTCCTGGCGGTGCTCGGAGGACCACATGGGATGCTGGGAATTGAACCCGGGTCGGCCACGTGCAAGGCAAATGCCCTACCCGCTGTGCTATCGCTCCAGCCCCACTTCCTGTTTCTTACTTTATTATGAACTCTTGACTGCATCCAGAGACAGTGTAGTCTGGACACTACACCTCGTCCCATTTCCATTCAAAACCAGACTGAGGCTGTTTCCACATCCTTTCTCTTCTATTTAAGTTGGAAATACCTTTTCTATCCTATTAAAATTCTTCCTAGTTCACCTTTTTTTTAATTGTTCCTAAGTCATGTACACTCCGATCTCCTTTATGTTCTCCATACACTTACTTTCCTTTTACGTTTATGTTCATTTTCCTAGACTGACTGGGAAACACATTCTTTAAAGAAAGTGGAATTTATGCTTGCTTTTTTCCCCCCAGTTTCTTTGCTCTTCCCTTTGTTGTTGTTGATGATTTTGTTGTTGTTGTCACATTGACCAGGGGATTAAGGTGCCTGCTGAGGGTCGCCTGTCAGGTTGTGGTGATCACACACTCAGACACGGTACTCTGTGTTCCCTGAGGCCTGCACTCTTGCGGTGCTTGCGCATGTGCTTATAGGACTCACATTCTAGTTGAGTCACACAAGTTAAGGTGCTGTTCACTAGAGGCCACGTGGTACCCACACACATACTTCCCAGGCGTCTTCCTGGCTATTCCCCTTCATCTTTTTATTTATTTATTTTGGTTTTGGAGTCACACACAGCAGTGTTCAGGGTTACTCTTGACTTTGCATTCAGGGATCACTGTTGGTGCTTGGGAGACCATATGGAATGCCAGGGATTGAGCTCAGGTCCAAGGCTTGCACTAACCACTGTACCGTTGCTCTCCAGTTATGGTGCTAATACACCTCTACCTGCAGTGCCATTGGAAATTGCTCATAGTGCCAAATTCACAGATAGCAGAGCTGCCAGGCTCAAAGAGCAGAGCTGCAAGGATTGTGCCTGGTGTGCCTGCAAGGATTGTGTCCTGGCAGTACTCAGGACTGTAAGCCACTGCGCTATTGCTCCAGGCCTGGCCTTGTGTCTTTGGCTTCCTCTCAGTGTACACTAAATGGCCAGTCTCTTTCAGGATATGGAGCTTACTAGTTTATGTAGCAGTTAAGTGCACAATCTGGATCGTGAGATCTGGACATGCTCACGATCTGATTCTCTTCCCTGATTGTATGTTGAACACATGAAATGCCAACGAATTCATAGTGTAGCAGGGAAGAAGAATACATGTAAACTTGTTATCTTTCCTTCTGATCATAATAGAGGTCTTTGTGGAGGACCACTGTGGAAGCATGTAGAAAGGTGCATCAGTTCTAGTACTGAGGATGAGGAGATCATTGAAAAACAAGGTATCTTTGGACAGTCTTCAGGTTAGACATTCGCAGGGCAGGGATGGGTATATAAGAAAGATAGTACAGGGGATAAGGGGATAAGGCACTGGCCTTGCGTTTGTCCAACCCCAGCACCACATGCTCTCCCAAGCATTGCTGGGAGAGGCCCTGAAGCACCAGCAGGTCTGGCCCCAACCCGTCAAAAAAAAGAAAAAAGAATCCTTAGGGCAGAGGGAATAGTACTTGAAAGTTACAGAGATGCTGTATGTGTTTTTCATGATGACTACCTGCTACCCAGGCCTGGATTAGGTGCTAGGACAACTGCGTGAACATAAAAGAAGCAGCTCTTTATAATTATACTATACATGGTTGTTATGTGGTGCACAATTAACAAGGAACTGAGACTGGAGAAGGAGGTAGGCCATATTTTGAAGGCTTGAACTAAAGGAAATTACAGAAGGACTGGAGTGATAGTACAGTGGGTAGGGTACTTGCCTTTCACGTTGCTGAGATGGATGGATTCTCTCTCTAGCATCCCATATGGTCCCACGAACACTGCCAGGAGTAATTCCTGAGTGCAGAGCGGGGAGTAACCCCTGAGCCTTGCCAGGTTTGGCCCCCTGGTACCACTCCATCAAGAAAAAAATTATAGAAGGGATAGAAAGGAGGAACTGGAGTGATAGTACAGTGGGTAAAGTGTTTGCCTTGCACGCAGCTGACCTGTGTTTGATCCCCAGCATCCCATATGGTTGGTTCCCTGAGCACCAGGAATAATGATCCCTTTGTACCACCAGGGGTGACCTAAAAACTAAAAAGGAACAAAAGCAAAAAAGAAAGAAACGAAGAGCTAGGTTTGATGAATTCAATCCATATTTAAAAGCAGAAGCAATAGAATTTGATGACTAGTTTGCTGTAGGAGTAAGATGGAAAAGTGCTGATCTCTTGATTGCTGGAAGGATGGTGCCATTCTCTAGAATTGGAGTTAGATGTTCCATGTAAAGCACACTAGAATCTAGGTTTTTCGTTTTTGCAAGCTTTGTAGTCCCTGCCTACACTGTTCAGCTTTGCCCTGTAGCCCAAGAGAGGCTGCACTCTGGATGTGGCTGTGTTCCAAGGAAATCTGATTTACAGAAACAGGCAGCATGCCAGATTTGGCCTGCAAGCTACAATTTGTTTCCTCTCTGCCATAGGATTGTACATACTGGAGGAAAAACATTTAGGTGGTGCTTGGGGGATGGAATGGAGAATATGGTGAGCTCACCTTTATACAAACTAAATTTCAGGTGAACTAATGGAGATTTGTCATAGGCCGTTGGCTCTTTGGATCTAGAAATCACGTGAGAGAGAGAGAGAGAGATGGATTGAAGGGACCATGTGGAAGTAACTAGACTTCTGGGAACTCTGGAGGCAAGAACACCTGGGAAATGGATTTGGGTGTTAAGGCCATGGTTGAACATGAAGGAACACAATAGTTAAGGAACTGTAGATAGTGAGATGAAATAAGCAAGGATGAAGGAGAACAAAGTCATGTCTCAGTTTCTAAAAGAACATGAAGGAGGACTAGAGTAGTTGTACGGTGGGTAGGGCGTATGCCTTGTACCTGGCCAACCCAGGTTCAGTGCCCGGCATCCCACATGGTCCTCCCAAGCACAACTAGCAATAATTCCTGAGTGTAGAGCCTGGAGTAACCCCTGAACATCGCTGGATATGACCCAAAAAGCAAAACAAAACAAAAAGAACATGAAGGGCCAGAGAGATACTGCAGCATGTAAGGTGTTTGCCTTGCACACAACTGACCCCAGTTTGATTTCCAGCACACAGCTGGTACCCTGTGCCCTGCCAAGAGAAGTCCTAAGCACAGCTGGGTGTGGCTTCAAAACAAAAGATGAAAAAATAAATAAATACAGTTACTGATTATAAAAGAACTCAGGTAAATAAAAGCTGTATTCATTGCATTTGAAAGTTAGGATGTTAGGCCCTGGGGATGTAACTCAGGATAGAATGCCTCCCTTGTTTGAGGCCAGAGTGATAGTATAGCAGGGAGGGTACTTGCCTTGCATGCAGCTTACCTGGGTTTGATCTTCAGCATCCCTCATGGTCCTCCGGGCCTCGCCAGGAATGATCTCTGAGCACAGAACCAGGAGTAATCCTGAATACTCCTAGGTATAACCCCAACTCCTCCCACCAAAAAAAAAAAAAAAAAGAGGAAGAGGATTGTCTGCCTTGCTTGTTTGAGTTTTGGATTGGTCTGGTTTGGGGGCCACACCCAGTGGTACATAGGGATCACTCTTGATAGTGTGTGACCATGCAGTGCTGGATTTCAAACCAGGGCCTCCTGCATTTGAAGCATGTGCTCAACCCTCTGAGCTAACTCTGGCCTTGAGGCCTTGAGTTTGGTCCCCAGGACCAGCCCACATCTTCTAGTATTATCCCTGGCCCTGATGGTAAGTATCCCTGGCACCACAAAAAAAAACTCAGCACACTACAAGAAAGAGTGTGTATGCATCACAACTGAGTGTGTGCTCTCTGTACAGCACAACAGTAGCAGCAACAAAACTACAAAAGGAAGGAAAGGGGGAAAAGAAGGAAAAAAAGAATCATGAGAATTTGGGGCCAGAGGCATAGAACAACAGGTAGTTTGCCTTGCATGTGGCTGACCGGGTTCAATCCCTGGCATCACCTGGTCCCCTGTGCACTGCCAAGAGTAATTCCTGTGTGCAGAGCCAGGAGTAACCCCTGAGCACATCTGGGTATGACCCAAAAAGTTAAAAAAAAAAATTATGAGAATTTGATGGAATGGTATGGTAGAAGCCTGACTGTAATGGGCTGAGACATCAATAAATGATTGGCAAGAAATGTCAACATATTTTTATTTTTTGTTTTTCAGGGCTTTTTATTTTGTTTTGTTTTAGGCCACAATTGGCTGTGCTTAGGGCTGACTCCTGGCGGGGCTTATGGGGTGCTGGGGATTGAACCTGGGTTGACTATGGCAAGGCAAGTGCTCTACCCACTATATTACCACTCCAGCCCCTGTTCTTATTTTTGGACTACACCTGATGATGCTCGGGGGTTACTCTTGGCTCTGCAGTTGGGACCATATGGGATGCCAGGGATCGAACCTGGGTGAGCTGCATGCAAGGTAAATTCCCTACCTGCTGTATTATCCCAAAACATGCAGAGCTCAGCAGCTTCTTGCCTGGTCAGTACTTGGTGGTTACTCCTGGTGGTGCTCAGGGAACCACGCAGCACTGGGGATGGAACTGGGCTTCCTATAAGCAAAGCATGCACTCAGTCCCCTGAGCTAGCTCTAACCCTCTTTCTTTTTTTAAGTTGTTTTGAAAGAGTGTATCTAAAAAGGGATCTTACAGTAAAAAGTGTCTGGGGTTATTTTTCCTTTTCTTTAAAAGTAAAGGTAAAAGTAAAGGCCCTCCCGTTGATCGTCGATTTGCTCGAGCGGGCCCAGTAACGTCTCCAATGGAGACTTTGTTGTTACTGTGTCTGGCATATCGAATACTCTCGGTAGCTTGCCGGGCTCTCCGAGAGGGGCGGAGGAATCGAACTCGGGTCGGCCATGTTGACCGCTTGTAAGGCGAACGCCCTACCCGCTAAAAATTTATATATTTTTTAGCTTTTGGGTCAACTAGGCAATGTTCAGGGGTTCAGGGGTTACTCCTGGCATTGTTCGGGGTACTGCATGGGATGCTGGGGATTGAACCCAAGTCGGGCACGTGGAAGCCAAGCTCCTTACTGTATTCTCTCTCAAGCCCATATTTGGTTTTTGGGTTTTTTTTTATTTTATTCTTTCTTTCTTGTTACTTTAGTGAGAGAATTAAATTTGGGGAAAGGAGAAAGAAATAAAGCTGGAAAATAGTATAGAATAGAGTAGAATAGAATTCTGGAGGAGATGGCCGGTGAGTAGCCGGGCCATTCAATGAAATCAAAATATCCTTGAAGAGAAGCTGATATATTTTTTTTCCTCCTTTGCCTATAGGCTGAACCAGAGCCCCTTGTGACAAACACAGCCTCAGTGTCACCCCTTGAACACACTCCGTCCACCGACAACACCACCTTGGGAAGCTGCTTGACAGGCCCAGCACATGAAGGTTAAAACTGGGGTTTGGGGATGGGGAAAAGTGGTGACCCTGTTCCTGACCCCTTCATCTACTGAGATGCCCTTCAGCAGGCCCATGTCTCCCTCACTGCTTCCATTGTGGCGGACTCTTTTTTTTTTTTTTTTTTTTTTTTTCCCTTTATTTTATTTTATTTTTTTTAAAGTTGTAGATTTACAATTTTTTGTGCTTTGGTTTCAATTATACAATGATCAGATACCCATCCCTCCACCAGTGCCCATTTTCCACCACCATGGATAATATCCCTCCCACCCCCATCCCCCCATCCCCCCGTCTCTGTGGCAGGGCAATCCCCTGTGTTCTCTCTCTCCTTTTGGGTGTTGTGGTCTGCAAAAGAGGCATTGAGTGGCAAACATGTTCAGTCCATAGTCTACTTTCGACATGCATCTCCCCTCCTGGGAGGATCCTCCAAACATCCTTTATTTGGTGCTCCCTTCTCTATCTGAATAGCCCTTTCCTCTAGGATACCCGGCTGGCCTCTAAGTTATGGAGTAATCCTCCTGGTGCTGATCTCAGCTATTCTTGGGTATTAATCTCATACTTTGTTACTTTATATCCCCCAGATGAATGCAATCTTTCTATGTCTATCCCTCTCTTTCTGACTCATTTCGCTTAGCATGATACTTTCCATATTGTACCACTTGTATGTAAATTTCATGACTTCATCTTTTCTAAGAGCTACATAGTACTCCATTGTGTAGATGTACCAAAGTTTCTTTAACCAGTCATCTGTTCTTGGGCATTCAGGTTTCTTCCAGTTTCTGGCTATAGTAAAGAGGGCTGCAATGAACAAACAAGTGCAGATGTCACTTCGACTATACATTTTTGCCTCTCTGGGATATATTCCCAGGAGTGGTATTGCTGGGTCAAATGGGAGCTCAATTTCTAATTTTTTGAGAATCGTCCATACGGTTTTCCAGAAGGGCTGAACCAGTGGTGTGGCGGACTCTTGACTGGCTTGCCAGAGGGACCTTACCCCATGACTGGTTTTTGTTTTAGCACTAGAATCAGCTCCTGGATCTGTACCCCTGCTTGGAAGTGACAAGAGTGCTTTCACCCGAGTGGCATCCATGGTTTCCCTTCAGCCTCCAGGTTAGCATGGGCTCCAGGGATCCTGCCTCATTTCTCGATCTGGTAGTGATGATGCCAGAGACCGTAGCAGTGAGATGTGCATTGCTCTAAAAACCTCAATTCTACATGGGCTCAATTTTCTTTTCTGCCTTTTGGGATCTGTGATGTTTTTGTTCCGGACATTCAGATCCTGCAGGTGGGGACCATGGATAAGAGTCGTGGAAATCGTTGGCTTCACCCTTGTCCCTTCTAGGGCTCAAGGACTGTCTCTGGACCTTTTCTTTCAGAGACACCAGACCTGGGGAAGAGTCTAGCAGAAATGGGGTCCAGTATGGTAGCGCTTTGGAGCCTGAGTTCCCTGCTGCAAGAGTCTAAGGAGGAAGCCATCAGGACTCTGCAGCAAACCATGTAAGCGTAATTCAGTTCTGGTGAGAGACAGCGGGTCAGAGGAGACAGTTCCCCATGCTGGGCCCTCGCCAGCCCCTAAGAAATTGAAATAATGCTGAATTCTTCCTTCTCTCAGTTGTGATCTACAGGCGAAGCTGCAGGCTCAGGAAGAGCAACATGAGGAAGCCCAGAAGGCCAAGGAAGCCGAGATAGAGAAGCTGAACCAGGCCTTGTGCATGCGCTACAAGGTGAAGGAGGGGCCTCGAAGTGGGTCGGTGAAGAACTGGGCCATCTATGCTGGCCCACTGGGAGCTGTTTTCTCTCCAGGAATCTGGGTGGTGGGGATTTTCCAACCACTGCCCTAGTTTTGCCCTTCTGGGGTCAGACGTTTCCTATGTTTGGGAATCAGTTATGGGCCAACCTATCTCCCCAGGCTGACCTAGAAGTCCGGAACTCTAGTAGTTGGGAACTCTAGCAGAACTCAGCGCTGAAATACACCTTACCTTGGGACTGGAGCAATAGCACAGCGGGTAGGGCATTTGCCTTGCATGCCGCTGACCCGGGTTCAATTCCCAGCATTCCATATAGTCCCCTGAGCACCACCAGGAATGATTCCTGCGTGCAGAGCCAGGAGAGACCCCTGAGAATCGCCAGGTGTGACCCAAAAAGCAAAAAAAGAAATACACCTTACCTCAAGCTGCCCTGGAGGAAGAATTAGTGTTATCAGTTATCCCCTCAGATGAGCATGGGTCACACTTTTCAGTCCATTCAGGCAAGGGCTTCAAGAAGCCAGCTGTTTTATTTTTTATTTATTTATTTTTTTTACCTTTTTCTTTCCTTTTTTCTTGGTGTGTGTGGGGGAAGGGCTACATCTGGCGGTGCATGGGGGCTTACTACTGGCTCTATGCTCAGGGATCATTCTTGGCCAGGCTCAGGGGATCGTATATGGTACCAGGGATTGAACCCAAGTTGGTTGCATGCTAGGCAAGCACATAAACCAGCCGTACAAAGCACCCTGGTCCCTGCCATTTTTTTTAAGTGCCTTATTATTTCTCTTCAAAGAAGACAGTTCTCTTTTCTGCTTTATACTCCACAGAATGAAAAGGAGCTCCAGGAAGTGGTACAGCAGCAGAACAAGAAGATCTTAGAACAGATAGACAATAGCGGCGAACTCATAGTGCGTTCACCGTGATGTCCGGCCTCTACCTTCCGCATCACTGGGAGCCAGGATACCACAGTGGGAATTGCATCCCCTGGACAGCCCTGGATCACCACATGGGATAAAAAAAAAAAAAAGAGGGTCTTTGAGACTATTGACCACACCTCTCCTTTCTCACTCCAGAGCTTAAGAGAGGAGGTGATGCAGCTCACCCGCTCACTTCGGCGTGCAGAGACAGAGACTAAAGTGCTCCGGGAAACCCTGGCAGGCCAGCTGGATCCCAATTGTGAGCCTATGGCCACTAGCTGGATCCAGGAGAAAGTGTGGCTCTCCCAAGAGGTGATGTAGAGTTGAGCAAAGGTCATGGGTAGCTGGTGGGAGCCCTAGTCTGTGCCTTTACTGACCTGGACATATCTACAGGTGGACAAGCTAAGGATGATGTTCCTGGAGGTGAAAAATGAGAAGGCAAAACTCATGGCTAAGTTCCAGAGCCATGTAAGAATTCCTGGGATGGACTGGAGGGGTAGTACAGTGGGTACTGTGCTTGCTTGCATACAGCAGATCCGGATTCTATTCGCGGCACCCTGTTTGGTCCCCTGAACCCGCCAGTGGTGATCCCTGAGTGCAGAGCCAGGAGTAAGCCCTCAGCATCATGAAATATGACCCCCCTCCTCACTCCCTCCATAAAAAGGATTCCCATGACAGGACTAGGTGCTGGGACCATTTCCCACCACTTCTAGTTTACCCAGAATAGTCTCCTTGACTCTCAGTCTATGCTGTTTTCGTTTGTTCATTTTTAAAAAGCAAAGGATTTATGCAACCTCTTTCTTTCTAGAGAAACATCCTTGAAGAGAATCTTCGGCGCTCTGACAAGGAATTAAAGAAACTAGATGACATTGTTCAGCATATTTACGAGGTAAAGGAGGGAGAGAATTGGTGCAGCTCAGGTATCTGGTGGAGGTCCAAACCCCGGGAGTATAGTGAGCAGAGCTCTGTTCCCAACCCGCGCTGAGAGCAGAACTCAGCGACTGCTGCATTCTCGGTGGCCACTGTTTTTTCCCTTCAAGTCAGGTGGCGCTTCCTGGGGCCAGTGAACCTGGGCCTCAGCCTGTGAACCTGAGCTGCCTTTTCTGCTTCTCTTCCCAGACTCTACTTTCCATCCCAGAGGTTGTGAATGATTGCAAGGAGCTGCAAGGATTACTGGAGTTTCTGAGCTAGGACACCGAAAGCTGGAATCCATTTCATCCCTTTTTACCTGCAATATCCCCTTATCCTCCTATTAGGACCAATTGGCATTGAGCCACCAATGTTTAATATTTTTTAAATAAAACACTTTTAATGTATTTCTTCAGGCACACTGCAAATCAGTTCTCTTTGTTTTTGATTTGGGGCCTTACCCGTCAGTGTTCGGGGACTGTCTCAGCTCAGTGCTTGGAGGTCCATTGCGCTTTGGGATCGTGATTGAGCCCGAGGCTTCTGTGTGTACAACAGGCTTGTGCGTGTTCAAGAACTTTGAGTGCTCTTCCCCTGTCCCTGAGTTGTCTTTCTTGGTGGCAGAGGAAGTTAGGGGAGAGGTAGCATGGCGCTGCCTGGGTGCCCTCCACACACCGCCTGCTGCGTCTAGAGCCAGACGTCCCCTCCTCCTTTCCCTTCTTCCTCAAATACTCGGCACTGGACAGATTGTTCCCTGGCTCAGGGCCTAGGGAAAGCAGACAAGGCTTCATTCTCTCCTCCATCCCTTCCTGGGGCCAGGCCCTGGTGAATCAGCAGGTGAGGACCATTCCTACTCCTTGCCTAGAACCCCTGCACTGTTTCGGTGCCTCTGACCGACCTGCCTCACCTGTTGTGACCATTAAAATGACTCTCCATCAGACTTGATTCCCAACAGCCAGCATTGTGCTCTACACTTGGCAAAAGCCGCTGTGGCAGAAACGAGGGCAAGACCATTTCCTGCCTCCGGAGCCTGGTGGCAGGGCTCCACGAGGTGGGAGGGGGACATTCCACAACAGCTTCAGAGGTCCTGGCGGGGCAGTCACTCCACTTCGTCGCTCTGCCCATGTGGGCGTGGCCTCACCACTGGCCCCCCAATCACGGGCAGGGGCGTGTTTACGGTGAGTGGGCGCCCTCCCCCTCCCAGGGTGGTTGGTAAAGAGGCAGGGGCGGGGAAGGGGGCGAGTCTCACGTAGCTCTGCGGCACCGCAGCCTCTTTATAGGAGCCTGGGCTGTTGCCTGTCAGAGCGGAGCTGTTCCTCTGACTGACCTGTTACCGCGGCTGCCACTGCTGTGTTGCACACAGGTGAGGCCTGGGCCCAAGCCGGACTGCTTAGCATCTCCCTTCTCTCCCGGGTGCATCTCCCTGCAGTCTTTCCTCCTGGGGACCCCTGGATGTGCCTTCTCAGTTCTTTGGGACCTTTCTATTCCAAACTCCACGTTCAGCTTCCCCGACAACACCCCTCATTCTTACCTTTCCAGTTTGGACCTCAGCTTTTCCAATCCCAAGTCCTCCTGTCTCCTGGCGTTTTCCTTGGGGCGAACCTTTCCATCCACATCATTTAATTTAATTTTGTGTGTGCATGTGTGTGGGGGGGGTGCACCTCGGTGGTACTCAGGTTTACTCCCGGCTCTGAGCTCAGGGATCACACTTGGTGATGCTCAGGGTACCATATGGAAAGCCAGGGTCGAACTCTGGTCGGCTGTGTGCAGGGCAAGCACACTGTACTATCGCTCCAGCCCCCTAAATGTTTAATTTGAGGGGAGTGGGTGCCCATACCTGACTGTGCTCAGGACTTAATCCTAGCTCAGTGCTCAAAGATAACACCTAGCAGGACTCTGGGGATCATAAGTGGTTCTGGGAATACAATCCTGACTGGCCACATACAAGGCAAGTGCCATAACTGATGTTCTGTCTCTCCACTGCAGCCCCACCTGAATTTTATTTTCAGCCTGCTCTCTCTCCTAGATTAAGTCCCCACTATTTTCTTGCTGTCTCACTGTTAACCACCCCTAGATTCCGCTCCTTTTGGCTCTTCCTGTATCTCTTTTCCTGTTTTTAATTATTTTTTTATCTTGGGGTTTTGGGAGCCACACCCAGTAGAGCTACCCCTGGCTCTGTGCTCCAGGGTCACACCTAGTGTTTGTGGGACCATATGGTACTGAGGATTGAACCGTAATCAGTTGCATGTAATGCAAGTGTCTTTACCCCTATATTATCTCTTCAATCCTGGGGAGAGGTAGTTTTGCCTTATTCTGAAGTCTTGGAAGTAAGGAACTTTTTCTACAAGCTCTGGTGAGGATCAAAAAATGGGGGGGAGGGGGGGAGACTTATGCCTCCCTGAAAAAATAAAGAGCCTAGTTCAATGAAAGTAGACTTGGTGTTGCCAGGGAAAAGGCTCAAGGGACTGGTGGAGCACATGTTTTGCATGCTGGAGTGACCTCTAATATTGATCTGGAAGTAGATTCTGAGGATCACCAGATGTGTCCACCCAACAAATAAAAAACAAACTGAGAAAGAGAGTAGGTTTGGTATCCTACTTGGTCAGCACTTTCATGAGAAAACCTGTAGTTCTGACGCTGTCCCCTTCCCCACCCCCAACCTTCAGCTTCCCCAAGTCTGGGAAAGATGCCACCAGAGACAAAAGATGTTGGAACTGGGGTCCTAAGCCTGCTCATTGGTAAAGAGGCTGTTGCCACTTAGATGCCTAGGGCCCATGCCAAGGACGGCTGTCCTGTTCGCAGCCCTGTGCTTGTTGGGGAAAGGGGTGGAGCCACTTGACCTACATGGCAGAAGAGAAAACAGGAGGCAGTAGATGGGGTCCAGGCTTCATGTCTTGTCTACATTTCAGGGAGCTGCCACCATGCCCCATTCGTACCCAGCCCTTTCTGCTGAGCAGAAAAAGGAGTTGTCTGATATTGCCCTCCGGATTGTGGCCCCAGGCAAAGGCATTCTGGCTGCAGATGAATCTGTAGGTACGTGGGGGCCTGTGTCATTGTGGCAGAGTAGGGTTGGGCTGGCCAGGGAGCCATGGGGATGACTGTACCCCCTTCCAATTTGCATCCAGGCAGCATGGCCAAACGGCTGAGCCAAATTGGGGTGGAAAACACTGAGGAGAACCGCCGCTTGTACCGTCAGGTCCTCTTCAGTGCCGATGACCGCGTAAAGAAGTGCATCGGGGGGGTCATCTTCTTCCACGAGACACTCTACCAAAAAGATGATAATGGTGTCCCCTTCATCCGTACCATCCAGGAGAAGGGCATTGTCGTGGGCATCAAGGTGCAGCCACTGACTGTGGATGACAGTTGGGCATGAATATAGGCTGTTTGTGTGTGTGTGTGTGTGTGTGTGTGTGTGTGTGTGTACTGTATTGGGAATCCTGCCAGAGTAAAGAGGGGTGTGTGTGTGTGTGTGTGTGTGTGTGTGTGTGTGTGTGTATAATGAGAAATCTGCTTTTGTCTCGCCTACAGGTGGACAAGGGTGTAGTGCCTCTAGCGGGGACCAATGGAGAAACCACCACCCAAGGTACAGGATGGGTGGGCCTTAACATGATAGGGTTTGTTGGGTGGCTGACACTAGCAAAGACAAAGTGATGAGGCTGGCACTATACCTGCAGGGTTGGATGGACTATTGGAACGCTGTGCCCAGTACAAGAAGGATGGTGCTGACTTTGCCAAGTGGCGCTGTGTGCTGAAAATCAGCGAGCGCACGCCCTCAGCACTTGCCATTCTGGAGAACGCCAATGTGCTGGCCCGCTATGCCAGCATCTGCCAGCAGGTGTGTGTCTGTGTGAGGTACAGATGGGTGCTGGATGGGAGCGGGTGCCAGGGCTTCCTCCCGCCCTACTGCAGCCCCTCCCACACTCCCGTGCTCTTACCTGCAGAATGGCATTGTTCCCATTGTGGAGCCTGAAATCCTGCCCGATGGAGACCATGACCTCAAACGTTGCCAGTACGTGACAGAGAAGGTGAGTCCACACTGGGGCACAGGCATGTACTGTAGGGACAGCCTGACAGGAGAGTTAAAGGCTCAAAGGCTCAGATTCGGCCCTTGCCCCAAGTATTCTTTCAGTTAATACCAGAACAGATCTGAGTCTGAGTTTGTGCTGAACCGGACAGTCATGCCAACTTCCACAGAGACAGCATAGACAGGTGTGTGGCCGGATCCAAGAACCTCCGTAATCTCTTAATTCCCAGGTCTTGGCCGCTGTGTATAAGGCCCTGAGTGACCATCATGTGTACCTGGAGGGGACCCTGCTCAAGCCCAACATGGTGACACCTGGCCATGCTTGTCCCATTAAGTATAGCCCAGAGGAGATTGCCATGGCAACAGTCACTGCCCTGCGTCGCACAGTGCCCCCTGCAGTCCCAGGTACCACCTGCTTCTTCACTTTCTCCTATCCCTCAGTCCCATCCTCAATAGCCTCTGTGACATTTGGAGAGCTTTGACACTGGAAAAAATAGGAAATGATCCAATAGTTTGGCTTCTCTTCTCCACCCTAGGAGTGACCTTCCTGTCTGGGGGTCAGAGTGAAGAGGAGGCATCACTCAACCTCAACGCCATCAACCGCTGTCCCCTTCCCCGACCCTGGGCTCTCACCTTCTCCTATGGGCGTGCCCTGCAGGCCTCTGCACTCAATGCCTGGCGAGGACAACGGGACAATGCCGGGGCTGCCACAGAGGAGTTCATCAAGCGGGCTGAGGTTGGGGGCTAGAGGTGGTGAGGGAGTGTGTAGCTAGGTTTGCAGGAGGCACTTAGAAGTGACAGCCTACAGGAAGGCTGCTCCATAGTTGGAAGCCTGTCTCATGAGCGGCTGGGGAGAGGACAGCTGGAATAGAGAAGGGATCACTAAGAAAATGATGGTTGGAGGAATCGGTTGGGATGGGAGAGGTGTGCCTAAAGTTGATAAAGGACCAAACGTGATAACCTCTCAGTATCTGCATTGCAAACCATAATGCCCAAAAGTAGAGAGAAAGTATGGGGAATATTGTCTGCCATAGAGACAGGGGGAGGGCGGGAAAGGGGGGTTATACCGGGGATGTTGGTGGTGGGGAATGTGCACTGGTGGAGGGATGGGTGTTTGATCATTGTGTGATTATAACTCAAACATGAAAGCTTGTAACTATCTCATGGTAATTCAATAAAATTAAAAATAAGAAGTGACAGCCTGTCCCTATGGGCCGCCTCAGCCTGCTTACTGTCCCCATCTTTCTTTTGCAGGTGAATGGGCTTGCAGCCCAGGGCAAGTATGAAGGCAGTGGAGAAGACAGTGGAGCAGCTGCCCAGTCCCTCTACATTGCCAACCATGCCTACTGAGTACCCATGTAGACCACTGCCCTTGGCCTTGCCACCTGAACCCAATTTTGCCTTGTAGTTATAGGCCAAGGCCAAGATAGTCAGAGCAAAGATACTTGCGCCCAGCCCTGGATCAATCTCCTTTTTCTTCTTCCTCTTCCATTGCTGTACCTGGGACCCTTGATCAGAGGATAGGGAATCTCACATGACTAAGGGCAGGAGAATTTTCTAGAAATAAGAGAAGGTTGCCTGGGTTTTCCGTGTGCCTCTGCTAGCCCCCATAGTTTCTGATAATGGGATAGCTTTTCCTGGGGTCAGACACTAGACCCAACCCATGCCTGGAGTACATAGCAAATGGCAAATAAATGTAGCAAAACATGCTATTTTGTCTCTGTGTTGTACACCTCAACCTGCCACCTCCCAGTTCCCCATTTCTATTGTCTATTGACCCTCTACTATGGATGTGGAGGGGAAGGGGTGTTTTTCTGTTTTTGGTTTGTTTATGGGCCACACCCAGCTGTGCTTAGGGCTTATTCCTGGCTCTGTGCTCAAGGAACATTCCTTGAGGAGCTCAGGGAACCATATGGGGTGTTGAGGATCAAACCCAGACTGGCCATGTGCAAGGCCCTATCTGCTATACTGTCACTCCAACACAAGAGGGTTTTGCACTTTACTGTGCCTTAAGTTTATGGGAGAGGAACACATTCGTGGCCATTCCCAATTTAGTCTCTGACCTATTGATGCTTGAGGCTGGAGTGTGGGTCTATGGAAGGTTGCAGACATCATGGAGAGAGTTGCATCAGAGAGATGCTGAGCTGCAGCCACAGGCAGACGTGGGACAAGGGGAACCACTGCTGGGGGAGCAGTTGGTGGAGCTCCTCCCACCAAGAAAAGTCCCGCAAGGCTTAAGGACTGTATGTTGAGTGGGGTATCCTGGAAGTTGTCTAGCATTTGAAGCAGATGGGGGATGAGAGAGGCCTAATGTGAATGAAAGTCTGTGTATAGGCAGCCCTGGGAGACACCTGCTGAACTTTAACCCTTTAATCACAGAGGTAAAGAGAAGAGAGAGAGAGAGAGAGAGAGAGAGAAAGAGAGAAATGAGATCAAATGTCTTGTATGTGAGATGCCTTGGAAGAAAGAAGGGGTAGGTGGCAATAGAGATAGCTCAGTGGGATGGAGTACAAGTTTTACATGTAAGAGGCCAGGGCTTGATCCCCTGTCTACATGCTTCCCAAGCCCATCAGGAGGGACTGAACAGGAGTAGCCACTGAACACCAGTGTGTATCACTCGCTCTTTCCCCACATTATCAACCTGCTGGGGATATATGATGTGAACTGGGGAGATTGTGCTTTGTGTAGAGTGAATTTTCAATGCTCTACCCAGCTAATTACTGCAGTATGAAAACAGAGGCCCAGGGTGACCTAATCTTATATTAACAGAAACAAGTCTGTTTTTTTTTTTTTTGTTAGTTTGTTTTGCCACACCTGGTGGTGCTCAGGAGTTACTCCTGACTGCACTTGATCACTCCTGGCGGTCTCAGGGAATATGGGGTTCGAGGGATTGAACCTGGGTTGGCTGTGTGCAAGGCAAGCGCCTTACCTGCTGTGCTATCACTAGCAGAAACAACTAATTTCTGTATGTTCTTGTCAGGCCATTATATAATCACTTTATATTTATTTATTATAAGAGATTTCTATAAAGGAGATACTTTATTACTCTTTCCGTTTTAAAAGGAGGAAACACACTTCTCAGACACATTCAGGTAGTGGAATTTGAACCCAAATGATCAGGATCCAGTGTGTTTACAAACTGTCAAAAGACTTTTAAGGCACCCAGGTTTTTATAAGAAATGAATGCAAGTGAATTTAAAAATACCAGAGTACAGAGGTAGAGCTGAGCAGTATAGCACTTCCCTTGTGTGTGAGGTCCTGAGTTCTATTTCCCACATGCCCAAATAAAATAAAAATAAAAAGCAACAGAATGACCCAGACATGCTAAAAAGGTACTACTAGCTTGCCATGTTTAGGTTTAAGGCTTGAAAGCTCTAGATCGGATAGGGATGGCCAAAAATGCTGGTGATCACTGATGTTTGAAAGTGTCAATGACCTTATTTTAATATTTCCATTTTTCGTTTCCTTTTTCTTCTTTTTTCTTTTTTTTTTTTTTTTATCAGCGGGGAGGAGAGCCTGGGCCACACCCGGAGGTGCTCAGGGCTTATTACTGACTTTTGCAGTCAGGAATCACTCCTGGCAGGGCTCAAGGACCAGATGGAGCGCCAGGAAAAGAACTTGGGTTGGTCAAGTGAAGGGCAAGCGCCCTATCCGCTGTACTCTCCAGCCTCTCAATATCTCCGTTTTACAGGGATAAAAACTGGATTTGGGAGTGGGCGTGCGTGGGGCGTACTCAGTCCTGTGTTCCGAGGTCCGGGAATCCGGAGACGCGCCACCGCCCCTAGACGCGCACAAAACCTTTTTCAAACTAGCCGCTAGGGTCCAGGAGAGCCCCGCCCACCCTCGCTGCCTCTCCCCCTCTTGCCTTTCCGGGGTGCCGCACGCGATTGGCTGCGGTCGCTGCCGCGGCCCCTCCCTCCTCCCCGCGCGTCTCCGATTGGTGGAAGCTTACGCCGCTCAGCCGGGAGCCAGCATGGCTGCCGCCAGGGCAAAAGCCGCCGAGCTAGGTGCGGTGGGATTCGGCGGGGAGGGGCCCAGGGGTCGCGGCTCCGAGGGAGGAAGGCGGGGATGGAGATGAACGACATGGCGGGGGGCTCGGGGACCAGGAGTCGTGGGTGTCGGGAGTAATCTCTTCGGTCTCGGACGGGCCCCGTAGGGTCGGGGCCCCAGAGCCCAGGAGTAACCCGGGCTTCCCCCGGGGGTGGGCCGGCGGCGGAGCCTGCGCCTCAGCTTCTCCCCCGTTCCCGCAGAGGTGGTCCGAGGCAAGCGCGCTGCCCTCTTCTTCGCCGCGGTGGCCATCATGTTGGGGCTGCCGCTTTGGTGGAAGACCACGGAGACCTACCGGGCCTCCTTGCCGTACCTGGAGATCAGTGGGCTTAATGCCCTGCAGGTGAGAAATTGGGGGCGGGGGGACGGCCGAGGCTTGGTGGAGACGCAGCTGATGGCTCTGATGCTCCTTCCCAAAGCTCCGGCTAATGGTGCCCATCAGGCTTGTGTTTGCCCGGGGGTCCTTGGACCCGCACGACCTGAAGAAGTTGCCTGAAACCTCTGTGCAAGAGCAGGAAATTCCTCTGAAATGTGAGTTCTTGGGGGGTGATGAGGTCCAGCACTGCTTTAGTGGTTGACTCACTCCAGATCCGGACTGGGTCAGAGGAGCATGGGTGTCCCGTAAAGGTAGTTAAAAACGTATTAATTCTGGAGAGGTGGCCCAAAGGACTGGAGAATAAGCTTTACAATCCCCCAGTTAGATCCCTGGCACTGCACGGTCTGCCAAACACCTTTTTTTTTTTTTTTTGCTTTTTGGGTCACACCCGGTGATGCGCAGGGCTGAGTCCTGGCTCTGCACTCAGGAATCACTCCTGGTGGTGCTCAGGGGACCATATGGGATCTTGGGAATCGAACCCTGGTCAGCTGCATGCAAGGCAAACGCCCTACCCACTATGCTATTGCTCCAATCCCGGTCTGCCAAACACTTTTGATAGTGATTCTCACCTCTATCCCAGCACTGAGAAATCTAGTATCAGTCGTTACAGGGCATTTTTGGGGGGAGGGTAGTGGAGCATGTCGAGCCCTTCATTCAGAGGTCTGAGCCCTGTGTAGCTCCAGATAGATCTGTTCTCTTGCATGCAAAGCTGTTGCGTAGCCCCCAGCTCTCTCACCAGAGGGCAGTTTTATTCACAAAAGTTAAGATACTTGGGGCCAAGGAGATATTACAGCGGATAGGGCGTTTGCCTTGCACACTTCGGACCTGGATTTGATCCCCAATATCCCATATGGTCTCCCAAGCACCACCCGGAGTAATTTCTGAGTGCAGAACCGGGAGTACCCCCTGAACATCGCTAGGTGTGACCCAAAAAGAAAAAAAAAAGTTAAAATACCTGATCAAGGAATGGGAGGGATAGTACCACTGGCAGGACACTTGCCTTGCATGTGGCCTACCCATTCCTGGCACCCCATAGACTCTCCACAGCCCCACCAGAAGTGATCTCTTGAATGCAGAGCCATGAGCATTGTCGGGTTTGGTTCCCAAATCCAAAGCAAAAGAAAATCTGCCTGATCAAAAGCAATTACTGTTCTCTGTGGGGCTGAGCAGGAAGTGGGTGTTGTGGAAGGAATATAGCATTTGGAATCTAGGCAGGTTTGTACACAGACCTTCAGATGACAAAGATTTCACGAAGTGTTAGCCACTTTCCTCACATTCCAGGAAGTTAGGGATAATTAAGAAGTTAATAATGGTTTCAGAAATTCATAAGTAGGGGAGAAAGTCTTAGATAAATCATGATGGAACTTGCTCAGAGATAAGAGTGCAGGCCTATCTTGAATAACCCCCAACCCCAATCTGGGCAGAAAAGAAAAGCAGACGTTTAGAAGGGCTCGTTGATTTGTTTGGGTTTTGGGGCCATTTTCAGCTGTGCTCAGAGCTTGCTCCTGGCTCTGCCCATGGAAGATTAGTGCTGGCAGTGTTGAGGGACCATCTGCGTCAGCTGCTTGCAAGTTTAGCACCTGACCTGCTATACTATCTCTGCATCCTGGAGAGGCTTGATTTTTTAAAATTCAGTCTAGTTTTTGAGTACTTTTTTTGGGGTAGGCTTTATTAAAAGATGTGAAGGGGGGCTGGAGCGATAGCACAGCGGGTTGGGCGTTTGCCTTGCACATAGCCAACCGGGTTCGATTCCCAGCATCCCATATGGTTCCCTGAGCAACTCCAAGAGTAATTCCTGAGTGCATGAGCCAGGAGTAACCCCTGAGCATCTCCGGGTGTGACCCAAAAAGAAAAAAAAAAAAAGAAAAGATGTGAAGGAATACAGGTTCATTGGGAAAGGGGACCAGAATGAGTCAGTATCGATAGTATTAGTTATTGCACACTGTGTGCCAAAAAATAGGGGAAAGCACTTTACATATATTTAACCCCAACCATCATGACCCTCGTTTCATAATGAAAAATAAACAGTTTAATATTTCCAAAATTGCATGTTTTAGGGTGGGGCTGGGTTTTCTTTCTCTCTTTTTTTTTTCTTTTGGAGTCACATCTGGCAGGGCTTGAGGCTTATTCCTGACACTGTGCTCAGCGATCACTCGTGGCAGCCTCGAGGACCATATGAGCTGCTGGGGATCGAGCTTAGATTGGCCACATGCAAGGGAAATGCCTTACCCATTGTACTATCCCTCCAACTTCCCAGACCTGGGTTTTTAAATCCTAGCCTGACTTCAGTGTTTGAACTTTTGACCAACAAACTGAATCACTTCCCATGTAAGGGCATGAAGGCTAAATCAGCAAGGGGGCTCCATGAGCCGCTTCATCTCATTGGTGTGTGAGGGACCAGGGAGGAGATGAGTCCAGACAGTGCAGCCTACATGCTCTGTACTTCCTAGCCTGCTTCCATGCATGTTAATGTTTTGTTAGAGAGATCAGGTCATTGGCTTCTATAGAAGATTCACATCCTGGATTTGGTGGGTCACTCGTTTTTCCTTTCCCTTATTTTGCTTTTTGGGTCACATCCAGCGTTGCACAGGGGTTACTTCTGGCCCATGCACTCACAAATTACTCTTGGCAGTGCTTGGGGGACCATATGGGATGCTGGGAATCGAACCCCAGTCAGCCGCTGTGCAAGGCAAATGCCCTACCCTCTGTGCTATCGCTCCAGCCCCCATTCCTCTCTTTTCCGTATCTCATATAAACTCACAGTTAGCTCTTGGGACATGATTGAATATTCTGTTTTAGAGGGCAAGAATAGAGTTGGTGTCATGTACTTCCTATTGTATCATGACATAAAACATAATGCTGATTATTTTATGTTGGGTGGTGTGAAGATGATTTAGTGAATGATAGCACAGCGGATAGGGCATTTGCCTTGCACGTGGCCGACCTGGGTTCGATTCGTCCATCTCTCTTGGAGAGCCTGGCAAGCTCCCTGTGGTGTATTTGATCTGCCAAAAACAGTGACAACAAGTCTCACGGTGGAGACGTTACTGGTGCCCACTCAAGCAAATCGATGAACAACGGGAGGAGAGTGCTACAGTGCTACAGGTACTGTCAGCTTGATTTCTGTAATGTATTTACTTTTTTTGGAGGGGGGCCCTCTTGCTAGTGCTGGCGCAACTTCTGGTACGGTGCTCTAGACACTTCTGTCATTGCTTGGTGGAACCATGTGGTGCTGGGGTGCTCAGACTCGAGCCTCGCACTCCATAGCCATTTCCATGGCCTTGTGTGTTTTGGGTGTTTGGGTTTTCTTTAATCCTGACTCTGCCCAGGGGTCACTCCTGGCAATATTCAGTGCTGTGCTGGAGATTCAACTGGATCGGTGGTGTGCACTGCAAGTGCCTTAACATCCTGTACTATTTCTCTGGCCCTGTGTTTTGCTTTTATCAGGAATGTCCATTGACTTGAATTTTGGAAGACACTTATTAAAATAATTATATGGTTTCTTTTTACCCATTAATGGGTATTGTAATGGATTTCTGGTCAAGTGTGTGTGTGTTGTGTGCTGTGTGTCCCATGCAGAACTGCAGATTGAAGGTGGTGTATACATAGAGGCCAGAGCTAGATAGGTGGAAGAGGTGAAGTATTGTGTGTGTTGTGTGTGTGTGTGTGTGTGTGTGTGTTTCTGTGTCCTATGTAGAAATCATTAGAGTTGACTATAGCTGCTCTTGCTGCTGTCCTCAGATGCCAGTGTTAGTGTTAGGACTGAGATTATGTGCAAGGTTTGACCTTGTTCTTCCCATCATGTTTCTTCTGGGGCTAGAAGGATAATACAGTGGGTAGGGCACTTGCCTTGCATGTAGCTGATGCCACCTGTTCAATCCCTGGCACCATGTATAGGTCCCCCAAACACTGCAAGGATTGGTTCCTGAGTGCAGAGTCAGGAGTAAGCCCTGAGCATCAGCAGGTGTGTCACCCAGGCCAAATAAAGCATCGTGCATCTTCCTTTTCCTCTCAGATAAAATGAAAATCAAATGCCTTTTTCGCACTGAGTACCGGATTGCTTCGAAGCATGAAGAAGAGGCTCTGTCACTGGGCAGTGTGCAAGGTACCAGAGGGACCATCACATTATGCATGGATGGGGGTGGGGGCTTGGGTTTCTTTTTTTTTCTTTTTTTTTTTTTTTGGTGTAGGGGGTCACATCTGGCAATCTCAGGGGTTACTCCTGGATCTGCAACCAAGAATTATTCCTGATGGTGTTTTGGGGACCATAAGAGATGCTAGGGACTGAACCTGGGTCTTTTGTGTGCAAGGCAAATGCCCTACCTGCTGTACTATCTCTCCAACCTGGCTGTTTGGTGTTTTTGTTTGTCTGTTTTTGGATCACACCAAACTGTGCTCAGAGTGGACAGAGATCACTCCTGGCTCTGAAGATCACTCTTGGTGGGGCTCACAGGATCATATAGGATGGTGGGGATTAAACCTGGTTGACTGTGTGCAAGACAAGAGCCTTACCTATGGAAGGTGTGTTTCAAACCTGTTCACACCTTTAAAAAAAATTGAATCACTGTGAGATACATAGTTACAAAACTGTTCACAATTGGGTTTCAGTCATACAATGTTCCAACCCCCTTTCTTCCACCAGTATACATTTCCCACACCAATGTCCCCAGTGTCCCTCCCACCACTCCCCTCCCCCAATCTGCCTCTATGGCAGGTACTTTTCTTCTTTCTCTCTCTCTACTTTTGGGCATTACGGTTTGCAGTACGGATACCGAGAGGTCATCATGTTTGGTCCTTTACCCACTTTCAGCACACATCTCCCATTCAGCGCGGTCCCTCCAGCCATCATTTTCATAGTGGTCCCTTCTCTATCCCAACTGCCCGCTATCCCACTACTTGAGGCAAGCTTCCAACCATGGACCAGTCCTCCTGTTCCTTGTTTCTACTGTCCTTGATTGTTAGTCTCATACTATATTCTTTATATCCCACAAATGAGTACAATCATTTTATGTCTGTCCTTCTCGTTCTGACTCATTTCACTCAACATGATGCTCTCTAGTTCGTTCATTTATAAGCAGATTTCTCATGACTTTTTCCTAACAGCTGTGTAATATTCCATTGTGTAGGTGCACCACAGTTTCATTAACCAGTTGTCTGTTCTTGGGTGCTCGAGTTGTTTCTAGATTTTGGCTATTGTGAACAGTGCTGCAACGAACATAAAAGTGCAGCTTTCATTTCTGCTGAGTGTTTTTGCACTCCCGGGGTATATTCTCAGAAATGGCATTGCTGGGTCATAGGGAAGCACAATTTCTAGTGTTTTTAGGAATGTCCATATTGTTATCCAAAAGGGCTGGACCAGTTGGCATTCCCAGGAACAATGAATGTGAGTCCCTTTCTCCCCACATCCACACCAGCACTGGTTGTTCTTGTTCTTTTTGATGTGTGCCAGATGATATCTCATTGTTGTTTTGATTTTCATCTCCCTTATGGTTAGCAATGTAGAGCATTTTTTTCTGTGCCTTTTGGCCATTTGTGTTCCTTCCTTGAGGGAGGTTCTATTCATTTCTTTCCCCTATTTTTTTATGGAGTTGGATTTTTTTCTTGTAAAGTTCTATTCAGTGCCTTATATATCTTGTATATTAACCCCGTATCTGATGGCTATTGGGTAAATAATTTTTTATATTCCATGGGCTGTGTCTGTATTGGGTCACTGTTTCTTCTGAGGTGCAGAAGCTTCTTAGTTTGATATAGTTCCATTTGTTTATCTTTGCTTCCACTTGCTTGATCAGTGGTGTTTCTTTATTTTGTGTGTGTGGGGGGGTGCTTTTTGGATCACACCCGGTGATGCTCAGGGGTTACTCCTGACTCTTACTCAGCAATTACTCCAGGAGACCATATGGGATGCCGGGGATTGAATCCCGGGTTGCCGTGTGCAAGGCAAATGCCCTCCCAGCTGTACTATTGCTCCAACCCCATGTTTCAGAAGTGGGATAGTGGTGTTTCATCTTTAAAGATGCCTTTAGCTTCACTGTCATAGAACACACTATTTTCTTTTATTTTTTTTAACTTTTGAATTGAATCACTGTGAGGTACAAAGTAATTGAGTTTGAGTCATGTTGTGTTCCAACACCCATCCCTTCACCAGTGTGCATGTCCCACCACCAGTGAGTGACCTCAGTTTCCCTCCTACCTTGCCCCTACAGCTGATCACACTATTTTAATATGAAGCCCTTTTTCCTTTGACTCTTAAGTATGTTGTTTCCTTCCTATGGATCAACTCCAAAATCTCTCTGGGGAAGCAAGACTTTCTCAGCAGGGCCACACCTGGCTTTGGGATGAGCGGAGTGTGGTGGGAGGAGGGTACCAGAGGAGAGGGAACAGGTATTTGTTCCTGATGGACCGCCTGCTTCCATCCCCAGAGGCAGAAGCCATGTTATCTGAGTCACAGCAGCAAGCTGAGGGCTCCCTGACCGTGTATATCATCGACGAGAGATCCTCGCTTCTCCCAAAGGTAGGCCGAGCAAAGAGGCTGCAGGGCCATTGCCTGTCCTTGCAGCTCATTCTCCCCTAACTCTGGAGCACCCCCCCCCCACACACACACACACACAAGAAACAAGAAACCCAGGGCCGCACACACACAAGGCAAGTGCTCTGCCTGAGCCACATCTGTGAACTCCAAGAACATTTCATTTTACTGTTTGGGGGTGAAGAAGGGGGAGAAGCAGGGGACAGCTCCCCAGCAGTGCTCAGGATTCCAATGATACTCAGCCAACCAGACCAGGTGGTTCTCTGCTTAGACCCTGCGGTGCTGGGGTGCTGAGAGGCCTGTAGTGCTGCACTCAGCAGTGGTTGGGGGTGTTGTGGTACCTGGGATCACTGCACATGCATATGCTCCAGATCACTGAGCTAGCTCCTGGCCCCCCAAAGATCATTTTTATTGATTTGGTTTTGAGACTATACCCAGCTGTGCTCAGCACTTACTTGTGGTTCTCTACTCCCGCAGTGCTGGGGTACCATTTGACTTGGCAGGGATCGAATGCTGGCTGGCTGCCTCTCCTGCTGTACAGGCTCCCCGACCCCACCAAAAGAACATTTTTATTGTAATCTGGCCTGGTTGGGACTTCCAAATCTCTCTGCTTACCCCCATTCCCTTTCAGCCCCAGCTGACCACATTGGTACCATTTTACTTCAAGCTTTTGGATTTTGCTCCACACTAGGAGGTGTTCAGGGATGACAGTTCAGAGGTTGTTCTCCAGCAGGGTTTCATGGGCCAGACTGGGGGCTGGACCTGGGCCTCCATCTACAGAGTGTGAGCTCTCCCCATTGAGCTAGCTCAAGTTTTAGCACAATGTATCTCTGAAAAAAAAAACAAAAACAACTTAGGGGCCAAAGAGTACCATGGAGAGGGAATTTGCCTTGCATGCAGCTGACCTGAGTTCGATCCCTGGCGTCCCATATTGTCCACAAGTACTACCAGGAGTAATTCCTGAGTGCAGAGCCAGAAGTAAGCCCTGAGCATCGCCTGTTGTTAACCAAAATGCCAAATAAATGAATAAATCAACTTATCTTGTTTTTGGTTTTGTTTGACTTTTGGGCTACACCCAAGAGGTGCCACTCCAACTCTGCTTCAGGTGCTGCGCTCGGTGGTACTTGGGGGATCATGTGGTGCCAGGGGACCCAACTCAGGACTCCCACATGCTTGAGCTCCTGCCCTCTGAACCATTTCTCTGGCCCCTATACTTAGACTCCCTCATTTCACACATATTTGAACATTAATAGTAGAGCACCTGTGCTGCAACTTTAATTATGAGGGTTTTATGAGGTTGTTAATTATGAGGTGGCAGGGAACAGGTGGGGAATCTACACGCAAACTCTCTCCTCTGGTCTGTTTTCATTTTATCACTTGTATTTGAGAGAATCATCCATGATAATACATTGATCCTAATGAGTTTATTTTAAACTGTCTGCTTTTTCATTAGATAGACAATAATTTATCAATTTTGATATTGTGGGCATTTGGATTGTCTCCTTTTTTATTAGAAATACTGTAAAAAATCTTTCGAGGGGTGGCTGGGCGGTTGTCCTGACAGTTCTTCCCCTGGCCACCCAGGTTCTGGGGGGCCTGGGGCCGCTCCCCCACCCAGGGCAGCCCGGGCCATGGGGCAGACGGTGGAGGAGATGAGGGCTGGTTGATTGATCAGATGCCGTTTATTCCATTCTCCCCATGCATCTGCCCCAGTCTCTCTGAGCCTCTGAGCCTCCCATTCTAGTCTCAGGCTCCCCTCATTCCACTCTCCTCCTGTCTCTCCCGCTCTTCTCTCCACGCTCCATCTTGCAGCCTGTGCACGCGCTCTCTCTCTCTCTCTCTCTCTCCCCCCCTCCCCCACGTTCCTGCTCCTGTACATTCTTCTCTGTCCCCCTTGCTAGCCTCTCCACAGTCCTTCATGCTGCCCTGCTCTCTCCAGCTCTCTTGTCTCTCCAACCTTCCAGCACTCTGGGCTGACACTGCACCCAGTTTGGTAGCCAGATCAACATAAGAAAGCCCTTCCTGAGGACCCACCAAATTCAAAGGGAACACCACTTAAGAGGTATTCCAAAGTCTTTCCTGACTGCCCTACTGCAAAATACCCCTTAAGGTATTTTTCTCTTTTCCTTAGTCCAATAACTATCAACATCTTAATACTAGTTATTTTTGTATGGACACAGTAAGAGATAACATTGAGGCTTATAGGGCAGTTCTCCTGGGAACATCTTGCCACAGACTCAGACTACAGCGCTCAGGCCAGATTAATCATTCCTAACCCTAGCAGGGTCCAAATCTAGTTATTACTTTTTGGATCATGACAGGATTTTTCTATGACCAAGCTCTTAACTTATAGTTAAGCATTATGGTGCTGTGGCGAGCCCATCTTAATGCCAGCGTAGCACATAGCTTACTGCTTGCCTTGGTTCCATCGGGGGCGGGGGGGGGGGGGGCGCCCCGCTTGGAAGTAAAGGCAGCTGAGGCTTAGGTGAGAGAACAGATGCCCAGGAGGGAAATATCACTGAGTCACATTACAAAAGCATAGCATATACTGTCTTCTTGTGTTCATACAAAAAGGACATTGCTCTGAATAAACTATGCAAAGGACTTAGGGAGAAGAGAAAAACAATATTTACAAGTCAACAGAGCACAAAGAAAGAAGTTACAAATAAACACAGAGGAATGGGAGCACTGTGTTGGGAGCAACCCAATAAACCTAAACAATCTGAGGTTATGCAGGAAGGACAAAACAGTGTTATTCTACAAAATACTTCTGCTGTTTTGCGAACATTGTTTATGAACATTGTGTGTTTGGTGGGAACCAAGAGAGATACCGTGTGTGTGTGTGTGTGTGTGTGTGTGTGTGTGTGTGTGTGTGTGTGTTTGGCGAGAGCTGGGAGAGATGCCCAGTGGTGTGGTGCCAGGTGCCCCACCAAGTGCTCATGCTTAGCCCTTTGGACGATCCCATCCCTCTGGGCCCTGTAATGTGAATGCTCCTCGACTTGCTTCTTCGCTATGTGCCATTGACTTTTTTCATTCTGCGTTTTTCATTCTGCTTTTTTTTTTTTTGCTTTTTGGGTCACACCTGGCAATGCACAGGGGTAACTCCTGGCTTTGCACTCAGGAATTACTCCTGGCGGTGCTCAGGGGACCATATGGGATGTTGGGAATTGAACCCGGGTCAGCAGTGTGCAAGGCAAACGACCTACCCACTGTGCTATCACTCCAGCCCCTTATTCTGCTTTGTTTTTTTTTTTTGCTCAGCTGCCATTACTTCTTTTCTGGATATGGAAAGTATTGACAAACATATCTACTGGGGAAGAGAAGGGATTGGAAGTGAAACCACCATAGATACCTGTAGCTCAGAAATGCAGAGTTAAAGTGTTGATCACAAATCCAAAGAGAGGTGTAGTCCTGTTGGTCAGTGGCCAGGTTTTCAGCGTGATCTCCTCCATGCTTCACTGGGCCGTGGCCATCCTGTCCCTTGCTTGCTTCCTCACAGGACATGGTGAGCTGCATTGGACCCAAAAGGACGGCGTTCACCCGGGGAACACTGCACCATCATGCCTTTTCTTTCATTGACCTCCGTGTAAAGGAGATTGTCAGAGCCATGTCTTTGGCTGAGGATGTGCTTGCCGCCGCCTTGGCTGACCACCTTTCAGAGGACAAGTGGAGCTCCGATAAGAGGCGGCCGCTGAAGTCCAGCTTGGGTAGGCGGCAGGGCTCTCCCATGGGAGGAGAGAGGCTGCAGGGAGCAGGAGGGGAGTCTGCGTGCACATGGTTCCCTCTGGTCCTCCTGGGCCTCTGCTTCTCCTTCACACCTACAACATTCCCCCTGTTGTAGCCTCTCTTTGGCCCTCTGAGGCTAACGAGCCCCATTCCTAAAGCGGAAGAAGCTTTGCTCACCCCTGGGTCCATCCTGCCCCTCTGCCATGACCCCAGCGGTGCCCCTGACCTCCCTCCCTCCTGTTGCGTAGGCTATGAGATCACCTTCAGTTTGCTCAACCCAGACCCCAAGTCCCATGAAGTCCACTGGGACATCGAGGGGGCAGTCAGGCACTACGTGCAGCCCTTCGTGGACGCCCTCAGTGTCGCGGGCAACATCTCTGTGGACTCGCAGGTGAGACAGGGCTGGGGGTTGGGGGCATCCTTCTATTTTCATTTATTAATTTATATTTTGTTTTGGGGTTATACCCGGCGATGCTCGGTGCTTACTCCTGGCTCTGCACTCAGGAATTCCTCCTGGCCTTGCTCAGGGGTCCCAAGGATCAAACCCGGATCTGCTGTATGCAAGACAAGCGCCTTATCCGCTGTACTGTCTCTCCAGCCCTCAAGGCGGAGGCGCCCTTTCTGCTGCCCCATTCTTTTCACTCTTCATCCAGATCACGTGTGCAAGTGCGGCCTGCGTTCGGCTGCGAGGGGGCTGCTCGCTGGGGACCCACTGAGAGTGCGTGTGGTTCTGATGCCTGCTCTCCCTCCGTGGGGGTCCCGCTGGGACTGGCTCCCTCCATAACTGTTGTCCCATCCTTAAGGAATTTACTGTTTTTTTTTAAAACCAACTTGCTGAAATGTTGAAATATGTTGATGTAGCTCCGAAAAAAGAGGTGAAGAATGGAGCCTTTTGTGTCACACAATGTCCTTTCAGAGAGGGAGACATTTTTGCCAGGTCTTGGGACTGGAAGTGATTACTTGTGAATAACTGACTTTATTTGATCTTTTGGACCCTGAATTGTGCCATTTGTTTCTCTCTTTGTTTAGGCTGTTTAAAAACAAAACAAAACCCTGATAAAATAAAATATGATAAAATATCCAAAAGGGCATATTTATTATATTTGCTCTACCTTGTTTTTTTCCCTTATGCTTCTTTTCTCTCAAACTTGATTTTATCTCACCTATTTTAAGATAATCTCAACCCTATTTTTTTCCTCACCCTAGACAGAGTAAAATAGAAATCAACTGAATAAACCTCCCTCTTCATTATACAGATCCTTTATTATGCCATGCTGGGGGTCAACCCCCGCTTTGATGCAGCTTCCTCCAGCTACTACTTGGCTGCACACAGCCTCCCGCATGTCATCAACCCCGTGGAGTCCCGCCTGGGTGAGCCTGGAGCGGGAAGGGTCTTTCTGCCAGGCGTGGGAGGGATGCTGTGGGCCCTGCCTAGGCTTGGAGGCAGGAGTACAAGAGTGGTTCCTGGGAGGGAGGGTGGTTAACCTGAGGGTATGAGCTGAAGCCTACTGGCACCATATCTGGCATTAAGTCTCGGTCTCCTGCATGCAGTGTCTGTTCGACCCTTTGACCATCTTTCTGGCCTCTTAAACATGATTGTTCTGGGTGGTTGTGGGGAGGCTTATGCCACACCCAACAGTGCTCAGGGTGTGTGTGCTCCTGACTCAGTGCTCAGGGATCACTCCTGACCGTATGTAGTGCCAGAAATAGAACACGATTTGGCTGTATGCATGGCAGGTGCCCTACCTGCTATACTATTGCTTTAGCCTCAGCATGATTTTTCTCTAGGGGCCTTTACACCTGGCTGTGCTCCAGACTTGCTCCTGGGGTGGTGGTGGGAGGCTCTGGAAGCCAGAAGGGGTACCAGAGGTTGAACTCATGTTGGCTGTGTTGAAGACAAGTATGGCCTTACCCACCATACTGTCTTTCAGGCCCCTCCTGAATAAACAGGACTTTCAATTTTTTTATCACACCTGGTGATGCTCAGGACTTACTCCTGGCCCTGGGCTCGGGATCACTTCTGGTGGACTCAGGGGTGCCCGGGTGAGCCATATGCAAGGCAAGAGCCCTACCCACTGTACTATCCATCTGCCCCAGTATTATAGTTTTTTTTCATTTTGGGGGATAGGACCTAGGAAGATGAGGTATGCCGAAGAATTCTCATGCAGGCCGCTGAGGTGAGCCTGGCACTACTTGTGCAATCTCATTTCATCTCCCAGGGGTATGGAGGAGCAGCACACGAGAGACCTTGGCAGACTGCTTCCTTCCTTCATTCAGCAGTATTAGCCAAGGGATTGCTGTATGATGGCAGTGCTGAGTCCAGAGAGCGGAGGGCATTTCAGCAAGGGAACATGGGCCTCAGTGCAGAAGAATGAGAGCGTAGATATCCAAGGAGCCCAGAGAATGTGTGTGGCTGAACTGCAGGGGAGTGGCCAAAGACGAGGCAGGCAAGGGAGGCCAGGAGGTGGGCAGGCAACTTACCGTGAAGGACCACAGTAAGAGCTTGCAGGTGAACCACTGTGAATGGCTAGCCATGAAGGATAGTGAGCCGGGAACTGACAATGAGGCCTAGGTGATACGTGTGCATAAAACTTATACAGGCAGGGGCTGGAGCAATAGTACAGCTGGTAGGCTGTTTGCCTTGCACGCGGCTGACCTGGGTTTGATCCCTGGCATCCCATAACATCCCCTGTGCACTGCCAGGAGTGATTCTTGAGTGCAGAGCCAGGATGCTGGGTGTGACCCAAAAAGTAAACAAAACAAAACCCAACTTATACGGGCATGACATGGAGTGGCTGAGAAAACTCTCTCAGTCAGGCAGCCAGCGTCCAGGGCCCTCTGCGGGCTAAGGACTGCCCTTCCTCTGTGTGGCACATCTCAGGTGGCTTTACCATAAAACTCAGAACTGAAGCATTGCCCCCAGTGCTTGTCTGCTGGGGAAACAACTGAGGCCCAGAGCGAGTGACGGGTTCCTTCGCCACTTCCCTGGAAGGGCACTAGGTTCATTGTGTTCTCATTGTGTGCCCCTTCTCTGTTTTCCGCAGGATCCAGTGCTGCCTCCCTTTACCCTGTGCTCAACTTCCTGCTCTATGTCCCTGAACTGGCCCACTCCCCGCTGTACATTCAGGACAAGGACGGAGCTCCAGTGGCCACCAACGCCTTCCACAGTCCCCGCTGGGGTGGCATCATGGTAATGGGCACACTGAGTATATCCCAGAGGCTCCAGGGACAGACCGTGTTCCCCGAGACCATTCCTGCTGTTCTTCCGTGTCCGCTGGGGTTCAGAGCCTGTGGGAGGGGTGGGCTGACACTGGGAAGGGGAGGGCACCGCTGGCACACATACTCCGCCTATGCCAACCCTGCTGCTCCTTACGGTTTTGGTTTTATTTCTTGTTGTTTGGGGACCATTCCTGGCTGTGCTCAGGAGATACTCCTGGTTCTGTGCTCAAGAGTGACCCGATAGTGCTCGGGGACCCTTGTGTGGGAGCAAACTGGGGTCAGCTTCATGCAGAGTGAGTGCCATCACCTCTGTCCCCTGTACCACCTCTTAGGCCCTTTCCAGCCTCTCAGGCCTTGCTGTTTGCATCTGTCAGTGTTTTTCTGTGCTGTGATCCATGTGCAGCTGCAGTGTGCATGTCCTGAGGACTCCTCTGATCATCTGGGACTCGCCCCTGTGTGTGGGAGTCCACAGGGCAACTTGGGAACTTGGTCTCCTCACCTGGACTGAAGTTTCTCATAGAAATTTCTAAAATGGAGTTGAAAAATATCCCTTTGAAGGGGGCCATGAAGGCCATTTATGTAAAATTCCTGCAGTGGCCAGTTGAGGGGACCTTCGAAGGTGAGAGTTAGGATCCGAGAGAAGCAGATCTTGAAACAGCATCAACTGTCCCGGTGTTTCTGAAGGGCGCAGGCTGGGACTTCCCTTTCCCTCAGGGTGTCCAGCGTGTGCAGGGCAGTGTGTCCACACGGTCCTGGCTGGCTGTGGGCAGCCTCGTGTGCCTTTTCAGGTCTACAACGTGGACCCCAAAGCCTACAATGGCTCGGAGCTGCCAGTGAAGGTGGAGGTGGACATGGTGCGCGTGATGGAGGTGTTCCTGGCGCAACTGCGGTGAGCTCCCGGCCCGTCTGCTCGTCTCTCTTAGCAGGACACAGAAACCCAGAAAGGTTTCAAGGCACAGCTCCATCCTTCTAGGATGGATGAGTGCTGACAAAACCTGTTTCATGAGAAACAGACTCACCAGGGCCAGGTTCACTGGGAATGATTATGGGTTCTTAAGAAAATAGTGCTTAAAAAAAGAAAATAGAGGTTGGAGAGAGTACAGGAGTCAAGGTGCTTGCCTTTCACCCCCCAGTTTGAATGTTTGGCACCCCTTATGCCAAACTCCTGGCGGTGCTTAGGGAACCGTATGTGGTGCAGGGCATCAAAGCCAGGTCCATAGCACGCGAGGCAAGTGTCTTCCTTGTACGTTGTACTCTCTCTCCGGCCCATGTCTCCTTTTTCAAATTTTTGTTTTTGGAGTCAAACCTGATTACTCAGAGTCTGGAACAATAGTACAACTGGGTAGGGCACTTGCCTTGCACACAGCCAACCTGGGTTTGATCATACTCTCTGGTCCTCTGAGCACCGCTAGGGGTGACTCCATAGTGCAAAGCCAGGAGTAACCCCTGAGAACTGCTAAGTGTGGCCCAAAAAAACAGAAACAAAAACAGCCTGACTACTCAGGGACCAAGGATGGCACCTGGGACTCTCCTGCGTAGCCTGCACACTTGCCCTTTGAACTCCTTGGTTCTCTTTGTTATTATTTATTTCATTTTGGTTTTGGCCACTGCTGAAGGTGCCGGGGCCACCAGGCTACATCTAATAGTGCTGGGATGTGGGATGCATATACGGTTCTGGGGATCAAGCCCAGGGCCACACACAAGCAAGGCCTGTGCGTTAATCATTTGAGTCACATCTCTGGCCCCATCCTGTGCTAACTCACCCGCTGATAAGAGTTTGCCTCTGTGAGGAGTCTGGGGCTGTGCCTGTGCTAGTCAGGAGAGGGGGCTTCTGAGGTGTGAGTGATGGCTGCCCGAGTCCAGCTCAGAGAGGCACTTACAGGCCTGCTTTGTCTGAAGTGGGCCTGGCCCATCCACGAACTGAGTCTCTGGAGTCTTATTTGTCTAAAGAGGGCGAGAGAATTAGCCAAAGTGCCATCAGCAGTATTTTAGCCACGGAAGCTTTTTCCAAGAAGGCCTTAGAATCGTGTAGAAATAGGTGAGAGTGAAAACATGGGTTGCAGTGAGGTTTGGGGTTTCTGATTACATCACTGGTACCACTCACCCCCATCCCCCGTCCCCCAAGGCCCTGAGCTACTACTTTCCTGCAGCCCTCAGGGTTCGGCTGAAAGTCACTAGTAGTCCTTCTGGGACCCCTTGCTGCCTTCTCCACCCTCTCTGCACCTGCCTCCTTGACCCTCTTTCCTTACTCCTCCAGGCTGCTCTTTGGAATTCCCCAGCCGCAAATGCCCCCAAACTGCCTGTTTCTCGGGCCTCTGAGTGGAGGGCTGATGACCTGGGAGGTGGACCGGCTGCTGTGGGCGCGGACCGTGGAGAACCTGGCCACGGCCACGTCCACTCTCACTTCCCTGGCCCAGCTTCTGGGAAAGATCAGCAACATTGTCATCAAGGACGATGTGGCCTCGGAGGTGAGGTGGTCAGGGATGGGTCCTATGGGCAGAGGGCAGGAGGGTGGCGGGAACAGAGCTCGGACAGCCCGATGAGGTCCAGGATGTCAGTGGACGCGCCTGCCTTCTAGAGTTTCTGACAGCGGCTCCCTGCCAGATCCCAGTCGGACTGTGAGGTTTTGAGCAGAATCTGAGGAAATCCGACCCCCTTTTACACTGGCCCCCTGCAGCCTGGTGAACTCCAGGGAACCTCTCATGTACTTCAGAGGATGCCCCCAGCCTCCAGCTCCCTCCTGTGCCCAAATGCCTCCTAGTTTGTAATGCCCTTGCCTGCTTCTCAGGTGTACCGGGCTGTGGCCGCCGTCCAGAGGGCGGCCGAAGAGCTGGCCTCAGGGCACCTGGTTTCTGCCTTCACCTCCAGCCAGGAAGCCGTGACGTCCTCAGAACGAGCTTTTTTCGACCCCTCACTCCTCCACCTCCTCTATTTCCCCGATGACCAGAAGTTTGCTATCTACATCCCGCTCTTTCTGCCCATGGCTGTGCCCATCCTCCTGTCCCTGGTCAAGATCTTTCTAGAGATGCGCAAGTCCTGGAAGAAGCCTGAGAAGAGAGACTGAGCAGGGCAGCGTCTCCGGAGAAGCTGCCTTTTGGCTGGCGTGCGGTGTAAGGTGGAGAGGAGCATTCACAGGACCTGCCACCAGCTACTGGTTGTGTCTCCTGCCCGTCGCCCTCCAGCCCAGTCACAGCACTCCATCCTGGGATTCCCTCCCCTGCTCTCCCCTCCCTTCCCCTCCCTCCCCTCTTCTCCAGAGTCACATTATCTGGCTCCAACTTGAAGGCTTTTGCCTCTCAGCCTGGGGGACAGGCACTGCTGGGACATCTTCTCTGTCCATCGCTGTCCCTGTGCTCTGAGAGGATGCATCTGGGGAAGCCCTGTGTGGAACTTGCACCCCGCCTGCTGCTCTACTTCTCCAAGCCCTCTGAAGGTGCCCTGACACCCTCTGCTCCCCCACTCCCGTGGAGGGGCTGCCACTCCTGTTGGGTCTGGCTTGATCAGAAGGAGTCCATGAAGCAGCAGTCTGGGTACCCAGAGTCCTTTCAGGGAGGCTAATGGTGATGGGGACCCATCTTGCTCCAGCACTTCTCTGGGGTGCTGTGGAGAAACTACTTTGTCTCTCAGTCTCTCACTACAATGGCACTGATGATAACCTCACTTGCTGAGGCGGTCGTGAGAAGTCGTGTGCTGAGTGAGAGTGTGTGTGTGTGTGTGTGTGTGTGTGTGTGTGTGTGTGTGTGTGTGTGTTATTCTGGGCCTCAATAAACGTGGCTTGAATGTGAACTGAAATGATGGAAAGTATGAGCATACATCCTTTGCATTCTTCCTCTTCAGGGGTACGTAACCTTTGCCTAGTCTCCGCCTTCCCTCAGCTCGCATCCATCTGATCTCATGCCCCTTGTGCTTCTCTGGTCCAGAAACCTAGGCAGCTGCCATTCAGCATTTCCTGAATTTCCTGGCGGGGCTGTTAGCATCTACTTCTGCGCTGTTTAGCAGGGGATTAGGGAGGGAATGGCTTGTAGTAGTGGAGGCCCTCGGTTACCAATTCATTAAGGCCAGGGTTGTGGCTCAGTAGTAGAGCACTTGAATGAGGTCCTGGGTTTGATTTCTTAGCTCAGCAATAAAACAACTAATACTCCTCAGTAACTGAGGAGAGGCTAGGCATTTAGCACAGCCCCTTTAGATTGATTTGTTGTTTTTTGGGGGGTAGGGCTTGAAGCCACATGCTGTGGTACTCAGGAGCTGATCCTGGTTCTGCTCTGGAGTGACCCTATGCGGTGCTGTGATCCAGACAGACAAGGTTGGCTGCATGCGGTCTTTCGGGGCTTGCAGAGATAGTGCAAGAGGTAAGGCCATGTGTATGGCCACTTCAGCTGTTACCTTGGTTTGGTCTCTGGCACCTCTTTGGTCCTCCAGACATCTCCAGCAGTGAGTGACCCCTAAGTACAAAACCAACAGGAAGGCCTGAGCACCACAGGGTGTTCTCCGCACCTCCACCCCCTCAAAAATGTGCCTTTGAGGTGGAACAAGAAGAATGAGGCCATCTGGGGGAAGAGCAAAGCCTTTGAGGGGCAGATATAAGGGCAGAGTGAGTAGGGCTAGGGCACAGTGAGTTGTGGAGATGGGACCTCTCCCCACAGTAGCTAGCAGTCAGCAAATGGAGAGGGCTAGAGAGTTCAAAGGGCTGAGCCCATGCTTAGTGTGTGAGAGGCCCAGGTTTGAAACTGGGACTTTTTGGCCACTGAAAGCCACGGGAGCAACCCCCAATCACCACTAGGTGTGGCCCCACATGGTTGAAGAAATCCGGGGTTCAGTTTGGAGTAGTAGTGCAGAGGCTCAGAGCACCTGCCTGCATGCATAGGGGAGGTATTAGGAGTTTATGTCCTTCGTGCCCCTGTATGCTGAGACAGCCCTGGCAGCCCTGAAGCTGAGAGGGTTGCTGGCACCACAGGCTGGGACAGCCAGGCATGGGAAAAGGTGTGAGCACCTTGGCCAGGAAGTGGGGCCTCTGGTGAGCCCCGCAGACATACCTTGTATGCCTTAAGAGTGCCCTCCTGGAGAGCACGTGGGCAGGCACCGCCAGTAAAGGTGGGCCCCACAGGAAACTGCCCCCCCAGCCAGCACCACAGCTTAAGATGGGAACTTCACAAGCCAGGTGTGTGCCACACCCCTCCTCCCCTCTTCATACCTTTCTCGGGAGCAACAACGACAAAGGGAAGGGATAGGAGCAGGAAATTAAAGGTGTAAAAATTCAGTGCCAGGGCCATGGTACAGCAGGGAGGGCGTTTGCTTTGCCCGCGGCTGGCCCGGGTTCGATCCCCGGCATCCCGTATGGCCCCTGAACACCTCCAGGAGTGATTCCTGAGTGCAAAGCCAGGAGGGACCCCTGAGCATCGCCGGGTGTGACCCCAAATAAAAGAAAGGTGTGCAGATCCGGGACCTGCCCGGCCGGGTCGCAAGCGGGCGGGGCCGGCGGCGGGCCGCCCCGGGGGCGGGCCCGGGGCGGGGCGGCACCTGGGCCGGGGCGGGGGCGGGGCTGCGGGCGCTCCCCCTTCCCCGGGCTCCAGCCGGCGCAGGCAGCCGAGGCGGCAGCAGGCGAGCCGTGGCCCCGCGAGGCCATGAAGGTGAAGAAGGGCGGCGGCGGGCCCGGGTCGGGGGTGGAGCCCGCTCCGGGGTCCGCGGGCCCGAGCGTGGAGCCCAGACCCGAGCCTCCGCCGCAGACGGAGTCCGAATCCGGGTCCGAGTCGGAGCCCGAGCCAGGCCCGGGGCCCAGGCCGGGGCCGCTGCAAAGGAAGCAGCCGATCGGGCCGGAGGATGTGCTGGGGCTCCAGCGGATCACGGGCGGTGAGCACCGGCGAGGGAGCGCCGCCCGCGGGCGGGAGGGGAGGGGACCCTCGCGGCGCGCCCTGGCCTCCGCCCCCTTTCCCGCCCCCCACTCCGGCCTCCCCTCCCCCACCCGCTCCCCCTCGCCCCGGGCCCCTAGCCTCCTGCCTCCAGGCCTCAGAGCTCCAGGACCCTCCTGCCCCACCTTCCTCGAGCTCCCTGTGCGTCCCCACTCTCCTTGGGGGATTGGTTGCCACCCCACTCTCCCTTTAGGGGTGCCCATCCCTCTGTCCCGTGGTGGCGGGACAGCCGCCTCATCTGGGACCCTTCCCTAAGTCTTCCTTGCCTTGTTCTCTGCTCTAGGGGAGGGGGCGAGAGAGAACTGCCCCCCCCCCCCCTGCAGGCTCAGGGAGGGGGATTACTTAGGTGGCCACGAAATACAATGATCCCCAGGAGCCTGGGCCATCCCTTCTGTCCTCCCTCCCCCCAAAGGATCTGAAGGGGGGGGAACTCAGTGGGCCCTGGGGTGCGGGGGCCAGGGGGGTAGGGAGGTAAGGACACCCCTTAGCCTGGTCTAACCCGCAGCCTGGTCTCCACCAATGCGGGTCTGTGGCCGAACTACCTGACTCCTCTGTCAGTCTCAGCGTCCACAGCTCATTGCCTTTATGACCTTGGGCAAGCAGCTTCACCTCTGAACACATTCATCTGTGAAATGGGGATAATGACATTTGCCTTACAGGGCTTTTGTGAGAATAAATGCTCCGGCTTTGCACAGGTCCTCAGTGAGGCTTCTCCCGAGAGGCAGACAACTGGGCAGCAGGGGAGGGGAGGGTGACCTCACAGACTCAGGGCATGGAAGCCCTGTGGCCGAGATCATGGCTGAGGCTCAAAGAACAGGCTTTGCTCAATGGTAGCCCCTCGGGCTCCCCCTGTGAGAGCAACTCTTGGATCAGTGCTGAGTTCTGGAGCCCAGGACTGCCAGCCAGCCATGGAGGGACCAGGAAGGCAGGTCTGAACCTGTGCACCTGGGTCCCGTGGGGACCAGCTTCTCCTCTGAGCTAGGCAGCAGCCACTCAGCTCCCCCGTCCAAGCTGCTGTGGGTTCAGAGCATTCAGGATTCAGAGTCGCTCTGGGGTGGAACTTCCTCCTGGAGTTTAGGTCTGAAATCACCTGAGGGTTTATTTTGCAATTCTAGAGACTTTCAGCCCATGCACTACCATATTTCTCCTGTTTTGGAGGAAATTCATAGTGTTTCAAGATGGGGCATGTGTGAAGAGTAAGGTTAAAAAAAAAAAGCATCTGTAGAAGCTGAGGGCAGGGTTCTAGAACTTTCCACCAGTGCCCCCCTGCCTGCTCTCTATGACCCTAATCACACGGGTCTGAGGTTTGCTGTGCCTGGATTACCAGGTCCTGAATCCATCTTAGGAAACTATTTGCGGCTGAGGGAAGGGAGTTGTGGTCTGAGCCTTTGGCCACTCTGCGCCTTATTCTGGCCGGTCCCCGGTGACAGGCCTCCTCTTGTCCTGACCAAAAAGAGTGTCTGGGGAGTACTGTGCCCTGAGCACCTCTAAAGATGCTCATTCAATACATAGGTCCAGTTTGCAGTGGGAGAGACTGAGGTCAGACCACAGGAAGTTGTTCCCAAACGAGAGAAGCTGAAGAAGAGGGCGGGGAGGTAGCCCACAGGCTAGAGGGGGCCTTGTTAGTCCTTAGCACCACATGGTCCCCCCCAGCACCACCAGCAGTGATCCCTGAACCCTGCCAGCTCTGGCTGCCAAACCCGAACCAAACAAACCAGGTTGGGGACTCCAGGCAGAAGGGAGGGCTTTATGGGGACCTGGGACTTAGTTATCTTGGCCACCTCCTCTATCTCTGTCTTTGGGCTGGTGCTTGCTTCCTGTGAGAACAAGGTATGTTCTGGGTGAGAGGGGTTGTCCTCCTCTTCTCTCAGCTCTCAGTTTGCCCCCCCCACCAGCCTGCCACAGGCCCTTCTTAGGGGCCACATGGTCACACCAGGAAGGCTTCCTGGAAAGGGCCGCATCGGTTCGGAAAGAGCAGTGGCTTTACATTCACTTCCTCTTCCTGCCTCAGAGGACCGACTGGGGTGGCCTAGGGGCTTGGGGGTGATTTCCGGGCCCTTGTGGGGAGGATGCTGCGGTGCAGGCTGATAGCCCCAGACCCGTGCTGCGCCTCTCGCATCTGCCCGAGCACTGCCGGTGCTGCTGCAAGACAGGCTCTAATATTCCTATGCTCACCCAGGCAGGGCCCATCAACACTCAGTTTCTCTTCTGGGCCCCAGGACTCCCCTCCCGGCTGTGCGCCACATCCTCCTCCTGGCTCTTCCCTTTGTGGGTGACTCAGGCCAGGTAGATGACCTTCCAGAGTCTTCCACGTGGAAATGCACTGAGGATGGGAGCAGAGACGGCCCCTTCCCCTTCAGCAGCCTCAGCTCTGCAGAGCTTTGCTAAGCAGCTTAATGGAACTGGGCTTGTGTAAGAGGCTTCCGGGGAGAGGAGGTGGCCGGGGTGGGAAGCGACAGGACGGGCTGTCCTCCTGCCCAGCTCAGGAAAAATCCTTCTCCAGACCTGAGAGGTCACACCAGAGGTAGCTTTGGGTGCACGACCTCTGTGGAGCTGGTGCCCAAAAAGAAAGGAGTGTATCTGCCCCATCTGGCTGGGGGCTCCCCATTGGGTTGGAAACTCCATGGGCACAGTCATTGCACCAGCCCTGGCAAAGCGGGGCCTGGATTAAGATCCCTCAAGGTCAGGGTTGGCCGAGCCAGTATGGGGGGAGTATTTATCCTTTGCCCTGCTCCGTTCTGAGCCCAGCAGCCATCAGGATAGAGCTGTGTATCCCCCCATTAGATGCCAAAGACAGAGCTATGACTCCCCTCTGCGGCGGTAGGGAGCAGGGGCTGGGACGTCAAGGGTGGGAGCGAGTCCAGGGTCCCTTGGGAGCCGGGCCAGCTCCTTCCTGGCTCAGCCACCTGTCTCCCCTAGACTACCTGTGCTCCCCCGAGGAGAACATCTACAAGATTGACTTCATCAGGTTCAAGATTCGGGACATGGATTCGGGCACGGTCCTCTTTGAAATTAAGAAGCCCCCAGCCTCAGGTGAGGGGGCTTGTGGGCCTGTACAGAGGGAAGAGGTTTGGGGGGGCCAGGTGATGGGAAGGTTCACAGGCCCAGAGGGGTCTGAGCAAACTCAGGGCTTGGACCCCACCCTCTCAGGAGTCTCCAGGCCCATCTGGGCTGGGCCTCTTCCCCCTTTCCCTCCTGTTTCTGAGGCTCCCCCCACTGTAATTACAGAACTGTGTCTTCTGTAACCTGGGGACCCTCACTTGTAGTTGGTGAAGCGCTGGACTCTACCCCCAAGGTGGCACCTTCAATTGTGCATCAGAATCTCCTGGGAAGTTTTTTTGTTCTGTTTCATTATTTAGTTTGTGGGGGCCGTACCTTGCAGTGCTCAGGAGCTACTCCTGGCGTTGCACTCAGGGATCACTTGTGGCAGTGCTCGGGGAACTGACCATTTTGGGTGCCAGGGATTGAACCTAAGTATGAGTAAGCAAAATGCCCTACCCACTATACGATCCCTCCTGTCTTATGGGAAATTTTTTAAAGATTCAAACAGATTGGGGCCTGGGGCGGATCCCTGGGTGGGCGAGGGCCCAACCGGAAGCCACTGAGCCCCAGCTGGGCTACATTACAGAGCGGTTGCCCATCAACCTGCGGGATGTGGACCCCAATGCCGGGCGCTTTGTCCGCTACCAATTCACCCCTGCCTTTCTCCGCCTGAGGCAGGTGGGAGCCACGTGAGTCGAGGGGCCTGGGCGAGGGTGGGTGTGGGTGGCGGGAGCCTGTCCCAACTCCTTCCCCAGCCATTCTCAGGGTGCTTTCCCAGGCACTCAGCCTGCCCCTGTGTCTCGCTCAGGGTTGAGTTCACGGTGGGGGACAAGCCTGTCAACAACTTCCGCATGATCGAGAGGCACTACTTCCGCAACCAGCTCCTCAAGAGCTTCGACTTCCACTTCGGCTTCTGCATCCCCAGCAGCAAGAACACCTGCGAGCACATCTATGACTTCCCCCCGCTTTCCGAGGAGCTGAGTGCGTGCGGGGCCTTACGGATTGTGGGGTGCAGGAGGGGGGCAGGGATGCGTACTCACTCCCTTTCTGCCCACCTGGATCTCTCGTGTCTGCTCCCTCTGCCTGTGTCCCTTTACAGGGACCGAGGCTCAAAGAGGCTCTTTCAGGAGCTTCACCTGTGTGCCCGCCTGGGCCCCTGTGGGGACTGGCTCAGGCCCTTGACCTTTGCCCCCCATCTCTTGCAGTCAATGAGATGATCCGTCATCCATATGAAACCCAGTCAGACAGCTTCTACTTCGTGGAGGACCGGCTGGTGATGCACAACAAAGCGGACTATTCCTACAGCGGGGCGCCCTGACCCCCACCCCAAGCTGTCCCCTACCCCCGGACACTTCTGCGCCCTCAGTCAGGACTTCCCCAGCACGTACCTCTCCATCCCAGATTTTCTGCCCTGGGATTGCACCCTGAACTCGGAGTCAGCATAGGGAGAGGGGCTATCCTGGGTCTCAGTTCATGTCCAGGATACCTCTGGGGGCTTGGGGCTGGGGGTGGGGGGGCTGCAAGGGGGATATTTTGCCTCCATGTCCTTGAAGTTCTCCTGAGAGAGGAGAGGTCAGAACTTCCAACAGTCTCACTGCTTCTCTGGAGCCAGACCCCGTATCCCGCTCACCCTACAGGCTTTCAGGGTTGAACATTCACAGGTGACAATCCGTGGTGGAGATCTGGCTTCCAGGCCACCTGAGGGACTCTGGGTGTCCTAACCCCACCCCCAAACCTGCATCTTAGTGGGGCCCGGACACTGCCTGAGTTGTGGGAGGGCCCAGCTGACTACAGCCTATGGTCAGGGCTGGACCACCTGTGTATATAGTTTTCAATAAACTCTTTCTCCTTTTCCGTTCTCTAGTTGTAGGCCAGAGTGTGTGGAAGTGTTGTGAGTGGGGGGTGTGGACAGTAAACCTCTCGGTCCCCTGAGTCCCTGCACACTGACACCCTCACCCCTGCACCTCCAGCCGTGCAGCAGCTGGAAAGTTTTTGCCTCTGGGAGTCCTAGGCCCTAAGGGGGACCTGGAGAACACACGGAAACCAGGCCTTAAGCCAAGGCGGGAGGGAAAGTACAAGATGCCAGCTTGGCTTCCTGACCACAGGTGCTACTCAGTTCCCTGGGTGTACTTCTAGCCTCTTGCTTGTCAGTAGACAGGGATTTGGCTTAGGAACCATTTCCTTGTTCTTGGCTGCCTTGGGGAGACCTAACATATAACATGGCCCTGCACCCCTCCTCTCCCACCCCCACACCAGCCCTGGCCTGGCCCCATCTTCCTTGCCCTGTTGGAGGAGATCCAAGAAGAGGTAGCCGAGGTTACCCCAGGGTTCCAGGCGTGGATTCTAAAGGACAGTGTCATCCTCTCAGTCTGGGTGAAGGGTGATTTTTTTTTCCATCACACCCGGCAGCACTGACAGTCTGCTCCCTGCTGTGTTGCTTGGGGGTCACTCTGATGCTGAGTGCCAGCCTGTTGAGTTCCAGCTCGAGGGCCGAGGACTGGCTTCTAAGAGCTTAGTTAGAACCTTGACCGAGGCCTCACCTGTGGGTTATGACCCAGACTGAATGTAGGGGGTGCAAAAATATTGACAACAGTAAAAGGTTTCTGAATGTGCAACTAAAAACTGAAAAATTGATCCCAAATCCACTACACATTCAAGTTGTGAATCTGTGGTGTTTCTGGCAGTATTTGTCTGTGCTGGGTGTCTCAGATAAAAAGTGGTGATGAATGAAAAAGTTTAGGAAGCCCTAGACAAGGGCTGGAGAGATAGTACAGAGGTTGCATGCATTCAATCCCAGATCAAACTCCTGACATCGTACACGTTACAAATACAGAGTATGGAGTCTGGAGTAATCCTTGGGCACAGCCAGGTGTGCCTCAAAGTGTCAAAAAACCAAAACTACAACAAAAAAAGAAGTCCTGGTTTTGAGACCTGAGAATTCTTTTGGGCTTGGGGGTTCTTCCTGGGAGCCAGGACTTAAGCAGAGCTCTGGGAAATCCAAAATGAGTGAGAGCCACGGAACACATCCCTGGCCCTGGAATAAGATGGACAGAGCACACAGTGGACCAAGAGTCATCCTTCATGGAGTCCGGAGAGATAGTCCTGGGCGTGTTGGGTGCTTGCCTTCGTTGGTCATTCGGGTGTTGGGGCTTCTAAGGAAGATGAAATCCAGTGAGGAGGAATAAGTAAGAACAATGGGGTCAGATTATCTCCAACTGCCAAGTGGAGAATGAGACCAAAAATCACCAACAATGCCATGTTCCAGGTCTGGGATAGGGTGTTTAGAGTATGTTAATTTAGAATGTTCACAGTTATTTCTGAGGAGGCCCCTATTAGGCTCAATTTGTAGAAAATGCAGACCCAGAGAGTTAACTTGCCCCACTATTGCACAGCTTTTTGGTTTGTTTGGGTCACACCCCCTTGCTTGGGGGACCATGAAGTGCCAGGGAATAAACCCTGGTCTCCTGCATGCAAAACCTGTGCACCGACCCTTTGAGCTAGTTCTCCAACTTCTCAATGCTTTTTTGTGTGGGGGGGCTCTGTGCTCAGGGGTCACTCCTGACTGGGCTTGGAGAACCATATGGGGTGCCAGGGATTGAACTTGGGTTGGCAGCATGCAAGGCAAGCACCCTACCCACTGTATGCTGGTCCCATTTTTTTTGGGGGGTGGGAGTCACACCAGTGGTGCCCAGGGCTTATTCCTGGCTCTGTGTTCAGGGACCATTCTTGGCAGTGCTCAGGAGATCCTATGGAGTGCTGGGGACTGAACCTGGGTTGCCGCAAGTACAGGCAAGTGCTGGACCTGCTGAGGTCTCACCGCTGGCACAGTTCTTAAGTAGCAGCACGACCACTGCGACCACTGCTCTGAGCGTTGATAGGCGCATGACGGGGAGGTAAGCGCACAGAAGTGTGGGGAAGCAAGTGAGCACTTGAGAGCAGGGCAGAGGGATAGGGCTGAGCAGGGAGTTAAGAGGCCCAGCCAGAGCGAGAGTGGGGCAGTAGGGAAATGGGGGGGGGGATGGGAGGAGTTTTGGAGTGGGTTCTGCTGGGAGTTAAGGGAGGAAAGAATTTCACCGAGGGGTACATTGGCAGGAACTGTCAGTTGTCACAAAGGAGAGGAAGGTGCCCGGCGTGGGAGGGAATTTGGTTTATATTGGAGGTTCCCTAGAATTCTGGAGAGGACAGGTGTGTGTGTGGGTGTGGGTGGGAGGTGGCGTGGAGGGATTTGATGTAGGTGTTGTTAATCCACAGAGAAACTATAGTGAGCAAGAGGGACTTTTAGGTCCACAGGCGCCAGGAACAAGAGGTCGCCCTGATAACTTTGGTCATTGCTCTTGCTAAGGCAGACCAGTTTTATTTTTTGTTTTGTTTTTCGGTTTTCTGGTTTGGGGCTGCATACGGCAGGGCTCAGGGCTCTTAGTCTCGGCTCTGTGCTTAGGGATCACTCCTGAAAGGGCTCAGGGGACCGTGTGTGGTGATGGGCATCCAACCTGGATCAGCTGTGTACAAGGCAAGCGCCTTAACTCCACTCTCACCCCAGTCCCAGTTCTGTGTCTTTTTTTTTTTTGGTTGGGGGTGGGAGGCATCCAGTGATGCTCAGGGGCTACTCTTGGCTCAGAGCTCGGGATTGTTCTTGGTGGTATTCAGGAATTCTGAGGTGCTGGATATTAAACCTGGACTTCCTGCCTGCTCTCTAGCCTGGGCTGAGGTCCTGAGTTTTGGTTTTGCGTCACACCCGGTGATGCTTAGGGGTTATTCTTGGCTCTGCACTCAGGAATCACTCCTGGCAGTGCTCGGGGGACCATATAGGATGCTCGGGATCAAAGCTGGGTCCGGTGTGTGCAACGCAAACACCTGACCCGTGTACTTTTGCTCCAGCCCCTGGGTTGAGGTTCCGCTGCACTTCCCTAAAGGGACCCTCGGAGAGGGTCTCCTGCTCTGAGTTCCTCATCCCTGAAGCAGGTCACAGGCCTGCACTCCCCCCTGTGGAGCCTGTGTCCCTTGGGTCCTTCTACTTTGAAAACTTCCTGCCTCTGGCACTGCTGCTAAAGGCCCAAGGGGCTGCATTTGGTTCTTGGCACTTCCTCTAAGAACCTAAATTACCCTTGGGGAGAGAAGCTCAGTTCCAATCTTGCTGTATCCAGGCATGAATCTGTCTCTTTGCAGTGGCTCAGATATTTAGATTTTGAACTCAGGCATTTCATGAGACTCCCCTCTTCCCCGCCCTCCCTCCCCCATAATGGGATTAGCAGTAAAATGCAAAGATTACAGGGAGACTCATGGCTTGAGCCTATCTGGGTTGGACTGAAGCATTCACACTGGGAGTGCCAAACCAGCTGAAATATTGAGAGGCAATAACTGCTGGTAAATTGCCATCCTCCTTAGCCTGGTCCCGCCCCTTCGAGCCACCCTCCAATCCGCACCCAGCAACGGAAGCCAGGGGCGTGGTGCTCCGCTACCGCGGGCCCTGCTGCGGCTGATGGAGAGCCAGCCCTGAGCCATCCATCTCCCCTGTCCCGTTTTTGTTTTGTTTCGTTTTGGGGGCTCCACATGACGATGCTCAGCGGTTACTTCTGGTTCTTCACTCAGGAATCACTTTTTTTTTTCCTTTTTGGGTCACACCCGGCAATGCACAGGGGTTACTCTTGGCTTTGCACTCAGGAATTACTTCGGGTGGTGCTCGGGGGACCATATGGGATGCTGGGAATCGAACCCAGGTCGGCCGCGTGCAAGGCAAACGCCCTACCCGCTGTGCTATTGCTCTAGCCACAGGAATCACTTCTGATATGCTCCGGGAACCACATGGTGTGCCAGGGATCAAGCACGGCTCATCTGCATGCAAGACAAGCGCTCCCCTTAAACCCTGTGCTATGTCTCCATCCTCTCTGTTCAGTTTTTGAACCCTCAGGTTTGGAACCCCTGAACCGAAGGGTTAATTTTTCCAGAAGAGATCCAGAATCCATTCAGAATTTGCTGCTCACCCTTAACTGTGGTTAAAAGCTTGGCGACAAGTGGCCAGCAGGGGGCAGCATATGAGTAGGAGTGTGGGGTTCAGCGGAGCACGACGGGGCGGCCCCGTTTTAAAAGCATACGGTCCCCCATGGAGCTGGAGAGATAGTATAGTGCGGAAGGCGCTGGCTTTGCACGCTGCCAACTGGGTATCAATACCTGGTATCTCATATGGTCCCCTAATCCTTGCCAGGAGTGATCCCTGAGCACAGAACCAGGAGTAGTACCTGAGCACTACCAGGTGTGGCCCTCCACAAAAGTCAAAAGTCAGTTATAATGACAAATCAACAAATACAAGAACAAGACTCAAAGTCTTGAAAGCATGTGCTCTGCTCTTTAAAGCTGTCTCTCCATGCCCCAACCCCCAAACCTTACATTGCTGCCACCTTTC